ACATTCAGTTAGCCGCAACAAGTCGTCTCGAAAAGAAGTATTTTTGTAACGACTGCTTAGTATTCAAGTTGATTAAAACATTTTCAGTAAACAACTCCTGTTTTTTGATGTTCGTGATTCGTAAACAATTGCATACTTAACTATGATCATTATCGAACGAAGTTTAAAATAAATATGTGAGATAATATTATGAAGTACAAAGTAATGAGTCAATGAGACAATTCCACATCGCAAGCAGCATCTCGGACAATTTTTATACTAAGTAGGTATTTGATTATTTTTTACGACTTATTTTTTATGCATTTCGTGTGTGGACATAGTTTCGCGATTTAATAGCAGATATTAATCACGCTATTTATTGCGATGTGTGTTTGTTTTTGGATTCATTCTTAGTGTGAACAGTGAGTAGTAGTATTTTGTGAGCCGTGCAGATAGATTTTGGAAGAAAAAAAAGTGATTATGCAGGTATTTATTGTATGTATTTATTAATTTGGGCATAACTATATAACTTTGCATTTCTCATCGGATTACACCTGTTGTCATGGCTGTATATGTATATTAAGTGTGTAGAATTAATTGTTTATGGCACATGACATTAAATTTTCATAACACTGATTTAACACACTTCAAAATTGTTTTTTAAACACACAAATCAAATGGAATTTCAAGTATTGTTATAAGATACCTTCTTACCGTGAAAGTGTGACAAATAAGCAAACATATTTTAACCAAACAATCCAGTTGTATCTACCTTTATAAAAGCTGTAATGGTATCGCAAATTGTTTCCCGATAATTAGCTAATAACTATAACTATTGAACTATTACTCTCACCCCTCCAAACGTTGCTACGATCGTAAATACGTCGTATGAATGACGTTATCATTTACGCGTTGAAAATGCTGATACGGCGGAAGAAATAACATCGATACTGTTAACAAATTATGCACTACTTCTAATTGGTGTGCACCTATATGTGTGTATTGTGCAAATATGCATAATTACATTATCCAAATGGGAAATCTACAGTCTGGTTTCTGTTGTTTCCTAATCGAAAGCTCACAATTATACATTAAAGTTACGTAACTACTATCGTAATCAATATTTATTTTACAAGCATTTTAATTTGTTTCACTTTAATTGAAAATTTTGTAATTGGAAATTTCAAGCATCGTTTGCGAAAACAAAACCCCTCTGAATCAAATTTTCGGTAAACATTAATCGTATTTTTTAGTGCGCTCGTGTCACAACACAAATTGCACTCTGTTGAAGTTCTGATAAGAGATAATTGCTTTTTGTGTTTTTGTAATGATGCGTTTTCATTGATATGTTTTTTACAAATGCGGCTATTACCTATACACCTACTAATTACATACTTTTATGTCTTTCATTTTATGAAACTCCAATCCGTTACACGCTGATTTTCCCATTTTTATTGTTCACGTTTGAGGAGAGTGATATTGAGTGGGAAAATATTTTAAATGTGTTCATGGTGAACAATAAATGTTATGTACTCGTACTAAATTAAAATTCGATATTCAGCTTATTCAAGTTGAACGCATTATATTATTACAGCCGAATTTTTATCTTTTAAGCACTTATAAAATTATTACGTCGTAAATCACCTTAAAGGTTAATCCCTTCAATTTTTATTGATAATGCGATAAAATTAATTATGTAAGATATTACATTGATTGATGTGATTGTGTCTAATTCATTGAATTTGGCGTTTTGTGGATTAAAATGTTAAAACAACGGATATGACACATCTTATTATTATTATAATTAAATTAGCTGAAACCTTGGCTGAAATCTTATCCAGAATTAAAATTTATAAGCGGAATGTTTCGGATCTTAGTTAGGTATTCAAAAAATCTTTCTTTTGAAAAGGACCTACATTTGTTATTTGTAACCAGAGAAACAATTTGAGTTTGTGTTTCTTTCAAGGTTAAATCACAAATATTCTAGCTAAGGAATGAAAATTGTTATGATATTATTTATCATAGGCAATATTAGCATTTCTTATTTCTTTAAATTAAAATTGAAATTTTTATTGATGGAGTCGGTATATAATTGTAAATAGTTGCGGGCAAAAGCTATCTTGTTCTAAAGTGTAATTTGAGCAGAATTTATTCCCTAACAGCTCAATGGTCTCAATTAAATATGATTACACAGAATTATTATTGTTTTGCGCATTTTCGCGCTGTTTTTCTACATTGTTCATGTATGTTTATGACTTAATAATCACACACTCAATTGGTGTTGTTCGAAAACAAATCCTTGTCGGACCGCGTATTTAGTTACAAGTGTGATTCGCACTACACTTATTGCCTGACTGCGGACAAGACAAGACTACGACAAACAATTCTTAGGTTTTACACTAGGTGTCTAGTGACGGTTTACTCACATAACAAACAAACACATCAGTTGCTAATCTATATCGACGTAAATGATGCATCGTATCGCACCGGTAGGCATAATTTCTACTGTCAATTCGAAACGTCTGCCGCTCTCATCTACAAATATGTACTCACATGCACAATCGTATTTGTCACCTCGTGATGCTCACGCACACCAGTTTGCTTCAACAACTGGTTGTAACCATGACTGTGTTTATTAGTAGCGATATACGATTATCACGCGTGTGCATGTGCGAACTGTAGTGCGTAACTGCCAGCTTTCAATCGTGACGATTTATTTCTGGTTTCTTTTTACAGAAGTTTAAAAGTTGCCGGCGTTCCCGCATCGGGATTCATTGTTCCAGCGACACCGTCGTGAGCGACATCAATCGGACACGAGAGTTCCATCGTTAGAGAATCGCCACTGTGCGCGGATAAATCAGTGATTTGTTGCTGTTGGCTGTTTTTTTATACCCTCGGCTACACATCATTACGGTGCAAACCCCAGCGGCGACAACGGATCACCAACGGGCAACGCGACCGATCGCGATCGCGACGTTCGATTCGGTATACCCCATGTTGACTCAATTACTGTGCGCAATTACCCGTCTTGGGAGGTCCCCAAGGAAAAAATATTTCGCGCCGTAATTTTTTGTTTTTGTTTGTTGCGTTGGACATTAGTGAAATTTCTATTTTTCTAATATAATTAAGATTAGACAAGACAATCACGTATTTTAATTAATTTTAAATTAAAAATTTAAATTTAATCTAAGGCTTTATAAACACATCGATAACTCAGTGCGTAATTAGTGACTGCCCACGGACATAGGACACAAGCAACAATCAAGAAATCAGGATGGCGAACGCCGATAAAACCAATCTACGTAAATTGTCCTTCCTGGGATTCACCAAATCACAACGAAAGGTTTGTTATATTTATATATTATTATTGTTAAACTGTTATTTGTTGATTTTTGCAAAAGTTTTTGATGATTTTTGTTTGTTCTTGATCGATCAATGACAATAAAATATACATTTATTAGAAAAACAATTAGCGCAATTAAAACATGTGACTTTGCTTGGTGTCTGGATGAGTGTAAAGTGTTAAAGTGTCGCGTGCACTTTTCAATTCTCTTTTATTATTGTCGCGATACTTATTTTCAGCGCGGCCATCGCAATCCGAGTAATAGAAAGCCGACGACGCTCTTGATTACAAATATTGATCAAAACAATTCAATTCAATAACAGGATCTGATTGAATGTGTCATAGTTCAATGTTCATTTCGATCGATGGGCGGCTTCACGTGCCAGATGAATCGAATAAGAATATCAAAAACGCGCACTTCACCCGCCTCTTATGCCGACCGCAAACAGGAACGAGAGCTGTGTTTAATTTTCCATCGCAATCGATTCGAATTGCATTGTTTTAATTGCCTATTGAATTCGAACATTGAAATGTCCTTTTTAAATATGTCGTATCTGTCAAAAGTCAAAACGCATTTAACTTGAAGCATTTATTTGTACCAGTATGTACCATTGTGTAATTAGAACAATTAGCGTCTGACTTATGTTAACGTTGTTTCATAAGTTAACATAATTCTATTCTGGTACTAATTTTCATCGTGTTGGAACTTTACCGCACGATTGATTTAATATTTCATAATTTTATTAATAAATTAGGATCAGTGCTTACTGAAAGTTACATGGATTAAGGTTAAGGTCACACCAAATTAGTGTGCGTACTTAAACAATTAAGGAAATTAGGAAGGAATTAAGCTTTTTTTGAATCCAAAAAACAAGTTTGTTAATTCACTGTATTACGTGAGAATCGCACTATTTTTTTAAAAATTTATTTATTAAACCTTTTGTTTAAAACATGCCCTTAATAATTTCCATTTAATTGAAAGTCTATCTAAAGTTTCTCAACTGCAGAGCCCTTTAAGTGACACGCAAATAGATTATTGATTTTTGGTAAGGAAGTAAAGTGAATTGTAATTAATTATTTATACTCCTGGATTTATTGATTACATATTATTACGTGCCACATTTTAAATTACTTCATTACTGTAACCAATTGTTGTATATTACAATATCAGAATTATTCTATATAATATTCCTCTGCTATTAGTTGGGGATTAATTTAATCTATGCATTGGCACGTGCGAAAAACAACAGATTTTCTGTTCTCGCGCAAAAAGACTACGATGCTAGTGGCACGTGTTCGACCCTTTTGGCTCGCGGAGGCTGTGTCCCGCACCACGCACTAGTACACCCCTTACTTGACCCGATTCATGGCCGCGATTCAATGTCGTGCGAGTCTCCAAAATCAGCCGGTACGGTACCACTCGCACAATGACACATCCAGCATCGAACAGTCCCATCCACTTTTCAAGCTTTGCATCCATGTGCGAACGCGTCATCAGGCCCCCGCGAGTTGAGGAAGCACAGCCCGTCGACAATGACCTTGACGATGGGGCGGTAGCACCTAGCACTGCATGCGCAGAGTGGTGTATCGACCAGAGCGCCGGCTCCGGTGGCGGCGGTGAAGCGGCTGCCGCGCGCTACTAGGAGCAGCACATCCTCCGCACTAGGTCAGTGCTCGCGGACGATCGCGGAACATCCAGCATCCCGAACGCGCGCGCAATTCTGAATCCCGAAATTTTCATTCAGCTGTCTTCGATCGAAAATGGGCGCGTGAATTCTAACATAAAAGTTTATCTTTAAAAATATTTAAAAAAAGTGTTAATGATATTTTTGTCTATTTATATCTAAACTCTTAATTTTCATCTTTGAAATAATAAAATTCGGTTCAAATCGAAGAAGTTTATTTATAAATATTTAGTGTACGTGACTGAGGTCTTGTCGCGAGGAAAATTACCCACCGTGTCGTTGTTTTAAACAGTTCACGACTCGTGCAGCTCTCACCTCTTTTCGCACAGACTTCGGATTTCGTCCCTATCGTTCCACTTACATCTGTAAGGAGCAAACACGCGTTTGCCATTCATGTATTCAACGTATTCGCATCGTTTGCGTACTGTTCACTGTCCGTGCCGCGACATTTCGGAGAATTTTCATAATTCATTGCACGTCCGATAAGCGATTGCTATTGTTGGCGATTTCGTAAGACCCACGCGGACAGGACACACGCGTGTTATTTAGGCACAAAGCGACAAAAAGGACGCACCAAACTACAAAATGAAGCGCAAAAAAGCTTGAAAACCTTCCGACCACATTTCCATCGTCTTTGAAATGTGATTATCGCATCATTCCTCCCTATAATCAAACGAGTACCTGTATTGAATCTACCTGAAAGCCGACGACGATGAAAATAGTCTTAATGGTGCAAACACAGAAATATTTTTCTACGGAAATAACAGGATATAAAGTTATACAAGTATTATAAAGAGGAGCTATTTTTACACATGCCATTAAATTTTAATAAACGCATAAATGATGCTGCTTCATTCCATAAAAAAAATCATATTTTAAACGTTATTAAGTGTCAATAAACCAGCAACAAGAATTGTCAACAAATGCAATTAACAAGTGGGTGCATGTGCGTTCTTAATCGAGTTGAAAATAGTGCCAATGTCGTTGGTTATGCCTACGGAGCAATCGTCGGCGTTGACGCATCGCTCTGTTTTGCACAAAGTGCGGGGAAGATTGTTGAAATGGGTGTACAGACTTAAGGTAAATAAGACGTTGTAATTGTGATAAATACTCACATGATTATCATGCGGTAACGATGACAATTTTTCCGCTTGTTTTGTAAATTTGCATGATTAGTTTAATATATCTCTTTGGCAAATATATTTACTACATACGATTTAAGTTTATTTTCGACTACTTTGGGACTTGTTATGGTTGTGTTTTTCCATGACAAGAAAAACCGCATTAAACATATGATAGCACTTTGTCTGGTCGATATGTAATATAACGATTTTATGGCAGATGGCGAATAAACAATCGTTAAGTACTAGTGCAACAAAAACAAATAAATAAATATCCGCAGTACAGGCGTTGTGTTTTGCGCCCTGCGTTCGTTAGTTTTTCTTTTTGGTCGTTCAGGGATGCGATACACTTAAGCGGATTAATTCTGAAATAAGCTTTGCAGCTTTGCGTGGCCTCAAAGTAGGTGCACGTGTTTGAATGCTTACGGTGACAGTTTCACTCGTTTAGCTGTCTCTCGAAATTTCAGTCATTTCAGTCGGCGATTGCTTGCAATGGCACCTCGATCATGTATCCTATTGTTTTATTACTATTTTTACTCGGAGTCGTATCGATCATGAATAAGATTGCTAATCTGTACGTATGTATATTTTATTGTCGTTTAAATAGTAATATTAGAATATTGTGCAGTTGTTGGGTATGACAGGAATTGCTTTGGATGTTACAGAAAGATGGAAGCCGAGACCCGAACGATACCGAGGTCTATTTGGATGAAGAATGTGCGAAGGTGTTTACTATGGATAGCGGGAATGCGGAGAAATTCGATTTAGAGAAGTTACACGACGACGCGTCAATATCAGGCGAGGCGAGAAATTACGGCGAGAACGAATATGCATGTGAGTTGTGTAATAAATAGATTTCCTAGTACTAATTACAGAATATAAGGAGAGAGTGAAGTGACGTGATAATAGGTGTAGGTATATAAATTCAAGAATTGTATATTATGTGTATAAAGTGATAATAAAGTAAGTTTTTACTTTTGATAATAGTTAATGATATTTAAAGTCAAGGTTCTTATTATGCGACGTTATTATTATTGATATTTTAGACATTATTTTGTGATATTAAAAATTTCATTTATCCTAAATTCTTTTATAAAAGTTATGTTTTGGTTTTTCGCGTAATGATAGTTATGTTATAGAAATGTTAATTTTCTTACCAGATCTAACATATAAAACTAAAATTTATCATTCATTGTACAAAATCAAAAATATTGAATTTTTCGGCTATTTCTTTAATTTGTTCAGTTCTAATTTCATTTGATATCTTTATTTTGTTTTTCATTTATTCTAAATTACCATAAACAGCTTTAATAACATGCTATTTCTTCTAATTTGTTTTTATGGTGTATACAGAATATACTCCTATAGACATATCAATCAAACTATAACTATTTATGCTTCCTTCAATAACAACAATACTTGTCTGATTTCTATGTGAAATTTCAGAAATCGATTAAGACGTTCATTTTTAACGATAATAATTTTAATATTTCATATTTCACCAAAAAATACTTTTCAATGCTTTTTCAATGCCAAACAAACAAATGTTTTGAATCACTATTTTCATTCTATCCATATCATCTGCGGGGTAGTTTATATAACAAATATTGAATTTGAGTTTTGTTATCTATGCAGATTTTTCCAATGCAGATTTGCAACTTTGTCAATGGATTGTGACAGTAGCTAACTAACTCTATCATTGAGAAATAAAATGGTATCAACTTATTTTATATTTCGCATTCCGATATTTTTAAAATCAATTTAATTACTTCGCGTTTGCGCTGTGATTTACGATTATGTGCAACCGACTATAGGTATTATTGGATTTTGCGCAATTTTTGCTCCAAACCGTTGCGATAGTTACGTCAATTTACTTTTTAAAATATTTGACTTCCCCGATAATACTTTTTATTATGTAGGTTAAAAATCTTCACTTTTTATGTCATAAACTCTCCGCGTTTTATTTATTCATTTTCCTGGCTCAAAATTTAGATTTTATATATGTATGTTATTGCTAAACGTCTCATAATCGTATGGCCAGAAATCTTTATCATGCATGTATAATTTTCCACTCATATTTGTAGAATTGAAGAATTTATTCTGTATTGTTTTGAATTTATAGTGCACCGGAAGAAAAGTTACCCGCATATGCATGCACCTTTAAAAGTGCCCAAGGTCCGACGTCGCAGCTCCTCGCACACTACAGTCACCGCATCAGGCACTCCCGAATCTGAAACACCGACTACACAAACGAGCCAAACACCAGCACACGAGTCTATCTTTTCAAGTCCTGGCACTGGCTTGGTAACTATTTCTCACTTGGTCGAAGACGAAAGTGGCACTGAGTCCGAAGGCGTTCTCTCCGACCCATCTGGCTACAAGTCGCACGACCTATCACCGGAAAAGAAGGTTCAATTTACACCTGGCGATTTTCAAGGAATACCCGAAGATGACGGGCAGGAGATCAAGCCAGGAGATGATAAGAAAGTTCGCAGAAGGTGAGTGTATTAAAATTATCTGTAACAATGTTTATGATTTGTTAGTAGAATAATTAACATACCAGAAAATGCTAGTTCTCTGTGGATTATTTAGGATGTTTATGCGACAATTGATGTTTGTTTATTTAATACCAATTTCGTGTTAATCTATATACGCAACAACCTGTTAATTTGCGTTCGTACACTTCCACGGTTCGAAAAACTCGCACTGACGATATGTGTTGTCTTTATAATTACCATTTATTTTTAATTATTTGGCCGCGAATACTAAAATGTGATCTTCGTGCGTGTATTGTCCCAGTGCCAAGTTTGCCTCATAGTCGATCCTGCATAACAGGCAACACGCGCCTAGTCGTTGCGAAGTGATCAGTAGAGGACTATGTTAACGTCCTTTCTGAGCGTTAGGTGATAGTTTAAATGTGGTTTAAAAAAAGGCTTAAGTCATGCCCATTTCTTACGAATCCGAGGCGGACGCTCGACGACGGTAAATTCATTAATTGTGCGTCTTGTGCATCGAATTTAATATATTAACATAAATTTAATTTGTGTGCAGCCGTCATCACCACATCCACCATAAATTCCGCAAATATTCTCTGCCGGACGACTCGAGCCGTCGCCAACACTCACATCGTCGCCATGTCGCACCGGAGAACTACAACAAAGGTCGGCGTGTCTCCACTCAACCAGAGGATCTACCGCTCAAGGAAACTGATAGGGACCAATTGGACAGTCACAGGTCCGATGATCCTCGAGGACATCGCCGCCATCGTACCACACGGCCATCAAATGCTTCCATGGTGCACATTGGCAGGGGCGAACAACTCAATCAAGTCTTCTTTAAGAAGATGTACGATCACAGCCCACATGCTGTAAGTTTTACATCTTTTTTTTTTTTAAGTTTTAAATATTTACACAGTTGATTCGTAGATATTCGTTGAATTGGACGAGATCGACGAGAAACACGACGAACGTGAGTGGAAGGAAACAGCCCGTTGGATTAAGTATGAGGAAGATCTTGAAGAGGGTGTTGATCGATGGGGTAAACCTCACGTAGCATCGCTGAGTTTCCATTCGTTGTTGAATCTACGCAAATGTCTGGAAGACGGACTCGTGTGTCTTGACATGGAGGAACGCGACCTGCCCGCGATCGCCTATCGCATCTCAGAGGACTTGTACAAGGAGGATCTAATTCGCGAAGACGATAAGGCAAAAATAATGCGTATGCTGTTGCTGAGGCATCGTCACGTCAACGAACACCATGACAGGCGCTTCGGTTTTCATAAGAAACACAGCTACACATCGCTGCAGGTAAGATTAGACCGTATAAGTATGTCGCTGACTTGTTCACATCGTGAAACAAATAAGACTATGGATATGTATATTATGTGACACATTTTGTGGTGGTGGTTTACTTGCAGTCGTTATGGCTGGAAGACGGGGCAGCATACGACGCTATGATGATGGCACGTTGTTCGGTGTGCTCTGCACAGGGTTCTCTGTGCCCGCCGCACTTATTACACCGCGGCTCAATCATCTCTTATCACGTAAAGTCAATACCTGTTCTAGCTGCTTTGAGTTCTCGAATTTGTTCGTTTTTTTTATCAAGTCTGAGTCAGCCAGACGCTTCCGCTTCACTATGTTTAATTACACATTAAATGGATTAATGTTATGTAATTGTTTGGGTTTCTTCGATTTGTGATTTTCTCCTTTTTTTATTACATTTGCATGTAAATGGTCAACAAATCAAGGACATTCTTTGGTCATTGTTTATAGCGTGTTTGTTTTGTTTTGTCTAATATAGAACTTTTGACATATTTATAACTCCCACATGAATTGTTTAGAATCTCCACGATTCCGAGCGGCGGAAAACAATTGATGTCGGCAATAGCGTAAAGAACGGTCACGCATTGGATCCCGAAGGAAAACTGATAAGTTCGGACAATCACGCAACCATTGTTGACATGAAGGAAGAAATGTATACAGCTAGCAATGAAGATTTAAAGCGCACGCAGAACGACACCATCCTGCGGCGTATTCCGGAAGGGGCTCAAGGTACAAGCGTGCTAGTAGGCTCGGTGGATTTCCTCGAACAACCTGCAATCGCATTCATTCGTTTGGCTGAAGGCGTCGTTATTCCCTCTCTTATCGAAGTTAACATCCCAGTGCGTTTCATATTCTTATTATTGGGACCAAAAGACGCAAAGCTCGATTATCACGAGGTTGGCAGGTCTATCTCGACGCTCATGGCAAACCAACAGTTTCATAATATCGCATACAGTGCTGATAACAGAAAAGTTTTGCTCTCAGCGATCAACGAGTTTCTTGACGATAGTATTGTGCTACCACCTGGCGACTGGGAACGGCAGGCACTTCTACCGATCGAAGAAATTAAAGCGAAGAGCCAGGCTATCCGCAAGCGCAAAGAGAACGCGCTAAAGAAACAACATGGAGAAACCAAGCCGCTCCTGACTGCAGATGGCGGAGATGGTAAAAAACCGCCGTTTCCGAACCCGCTTGAACGAACGAAACGACCTTTCGGCGGGCTTATCAATGATATTCGCCGTCGCTTTCCAGCGTATAAGAGTGATATACTCCATGGTATGAATGCTCAATGTGCAGCGGCGGCTATTTTCATGTACTTTGCCGCTCTCTCGGGTGCAATTACATTCGGCGGATTAATGAGCGACAAAACAGAGAATTACATTGGGATTTCAGAGACTCTGGTTGCGACAGCGGCCGCCGGTGTTGTATTTGCACTCTGTGCTGGCCAACCACTCGTGATCGTAGGAAGCACTGGACCACTTTTACTATTTGATGAAAGTCTGTATCAATTCTGCAAAGCCAACGACATTGAATACCTCACCACGCGCGTTTATATTGGTATTTGGCTGGGCATTATAGCGCTATTTGTGGCGTCTCTAGAGGGCAGCGTTTTCGTTAAATTATTCACGCGCTTTACAGAGGAGATATTTTCGGCTCTGATTTCTCTATTGTATATTGTTGAAAGCGTTATGAAATTGGTCTTCGTTTTCGGTAGACATCCGCTGATGTTTACGTACTGCGATAATCGTATCATGGCAGCATTAGTCGGCAATTTGACTGAGTTGATGGAGAACTCAACCGACTTTAGCAACAACACTGCACTCGCATCCATTCCAGAAATAGATTATTATCCAATGAAGGATGAAAGAGGAAAGCCTATCAATCGACCTAATACGGCCCTGTTTTGTACTATTCTCGCGCTGGGAACTTTTGCTATCGCCTACTACTTGAGATTATTTAGAAACAGCCAGTTTCTAGGAAGAAGTGTAAGTGAGCTATTAATATTGTCGTTGCCATGATCTTTCCTTCAATGCCACAACCATTATTTTACTTGGCAAATAGCTTAAAGTCATTGTTACCTACCAAATCCTTCTGACCTCGTTTTCCTATTTTCAAAGCCAATTATTACTTCACACTTTTGGCAAAAAAGTACTGATTCATTTTGTATTGCTCACAGGCTCGTCGTGCGCTTGGGGACTTTGGAGTACCCATCGCAATCGTCATCATGGTCTTCATGGACTATATGGTACCCGAAACCTATACAGAGAAACTGAGCGTGCCCGAAGGATTGTCCCCCTCTAACACGGAAGTTAGAGGCTGGTTAATCAGTCCGAGCGGCACTAATGAACCTTTTCCCTTGTGGGTAGTTGGCGCGTCCTGCATCCCCGCAATGCTCGTGTACATCCTCCTCTTTATGGAAACACACATTTGCGAGTAGGTATCTGTAAGTTTGCAAATAGGGAAGGCTATTAAACCATACATTTATGCGTTTAGATTGATTATGGATAAGAAGGAACGTAAACTCCAGAAAGGCAGTGGATTCCACCTCGACATCGTACTCATCTGTCTAATAAACGTGGGCTGTGGGTTTTTGGGAACACCGTGGATCTGTGCGGCAACTGTAAGATCGGTGGCGCACATATCTGCGGTGACCGTCATGTCCCGGACGCATGCCCCCGGCGAGAAACCTCATATTATCGAAGTGAAGGAGCAAAGAGTTTCCGCATTGACTGTTTCCCTTCTGGTGGGTTTATCCGTGCTAATGGCTCCGCTACTTCGGCTGGTTCCGATGTCGGTGCTGTTTGGCGTATTCCTTTACATGGGCGTTGCATCCACGGATGGCATTCAGTTCTTTGACCGCATGAAATTGTTCTTCATGCCTGTGAAACATCATCCGCAGGCGTCCTACGTAAGAAGGGTAAGTGGAATTTATTTTCGTACTAACAATCTAGCAAAATGTGATTACAATATCGCACTTTTGCCAGCTTTGTCACGAGTGATTGCAAATTTAAACTGTGATTCACTCATTCCAAGATATTTCCAACTATGTTTATAACAACTATTTGTCATATGATGCTGATTCACTCCGAAGACAATTCCGCGCAGAATGTAAATATTTATATACAGTTTGCAAACACCTTGTAGGATATAATTAACTAATATAATTGCAAAGGCTCGTAGCGATCGTTAAGACCTGGCAATTAACGCGATTATCATTGCGTGTAAAGTGAAAATTAACGTCCATGGGGTCAGGTCATAAAGTCATCTTTGTGAACCTACGCACGCATGCATTAAAAAAACACATAAAAGGTAGGAAGAGGGTGTGTGTATGACAGGCGGCGTTGAACAATAGATGCATTATATCGTTGTCGCTTGAGTGGTTTTTCAAGTGCGGGGTTTAGTTTTATACCGCTATACCGCAGTGGGTGTATCAGCGACTTAGCATTTTTACTTCTTTTTTATTCCTGCAGTGTAGGACGGTTAATGAGAGTCATCATTTCCTATACGAAATAAAATTTATTTGCACAATTTTTATGAATTACACATAGTATATATAGAAATATAAAATTAAATTTAAATTAAATCAGTTTTAAAATGGCACAATGCTTTCAACGCATAATGTCAATCAATAATATATAAATGAATTCCCTTAATTACTCGATAATATGGGCACATCGCACATGACTACGAATTAAAGTCTCACCATCGCATTCAGAGCCCAACTCTTTCCTGTCAAACACGCTCGCTATCAACAGAAATTCATAAATTACTCATTCTAGTAATAATATAATACAATAGTTATTTTGTGATATTTAAAATTCTTTACTTTTTGTTCATCAATTTAACACTAATTCATTGGTATCGTTGAATGTTTAGCTAATTTTATTCGGATTTAATTTTCCATGGAACGTTTCGGTTTAGTTTGAATTAGTGTGTTTGTAAACGTCTAAACTACTGTAAAATTGATGGCAGTTTGTATGGAAATAATTTAGGCTAGTCGTGCCGCAATTACGTTTTTTTTATCACTAGATTTGGAACTAACATTACTCGTTTATCATAGTCTTAAATGAGGCTAGTTAAAAAACAAAGTCGCTGAATGGCAATTGTGGTGGCAAATGTTATGATACATGTTTGCGCGTTTTACAAATTTGGAAAAGCCTGATTACATACATGCCTCTTACATTACTCACGGTATGATTAGATACATCGTAAAGAAGTCGTACATTGAAGCAATTCTTTTGAAATAATAGCCTTGTCTCTCAAATTCTCAATACGATAGATGATAATTCAATACATTACTTAAAAGTTAAAGTTATTTTTCGATTCCATGTCAACCTTGGCGTGGTCGATCTTGTTGCGATTAGAACAGGCCCTTCTTTTTCTTCTTACCATCGACCGCCTCCCGACTGCCCTCCAAAGATCGCCGACGCAATTCTTCTATCGTCACCTGATTTTCTTTCTCCCATTGCTCCTTCTCGAGCTCGAACTGCTTCCGTTTGTCCTCCAATTCTTTCGCCTGCTGCTCTAGCTGCTTCTTAGTGGACTCATGTCTTCGAGTCAATTCAGCTTCACTGTCCTTCAGTTTCTGTTTCTTTTCGCGGACCTTCATCTCGAACACCTGTTCCATTTCGGCCTCCATCTTCTTCATCTTTGCATCGTGCTCTCGCTTTTCCTCGTCCATCTGAGCGAGTGGATTCTTGTTCGAGCTGCGGGTGGGTTTGCCATCTGCGCCCAATCCTGCCAATTTTCGGCACCGATAGTTCTCGTAATGAACATTATTAGTTACATCCTTTAAATCTTGTAGATGTGTGCGGATAACCATATTGCGCAGCGCAATAAAATCGCAGTGTTCTAAGTTTTCGACCTCAGCAATGCCCCATGGATATTTCCGGCCGCGCATCTTTTTGCCATCTTGTTCGATGACCACGTTCGAGCCGACGACTGCAAACGGCACGCGATCTCGTAGAGACTTGTTTAGTTTATTCTCCTCGTCTTCTTCTGCCGATTCGGGAAACTCGTAAACTTTAATTTTGTGCTGAGCTATTTCATTCAGCACTTGCTTTTTGAATAGGGTGCATTCATCTGCAGTCAATGTGTCAGCCTTTGCTATTATGGGAATAATGTTTACTTTATCACACAGCCTCTTCATAAATTCAATATCCAACGATTTTAGGCCGTGTCCAGATGGTTGAATGAAATAAAGACAGCAGTGAACCCGTTGATCCGTGGATTGTTTTCGTGTAACTCGCGCTTCTGCGTTCAAGAAGTCTTCATACTTGCTTTCAATAAACTCTATGATTGGCACCCAGCAATTGCTATTATCGACGGCATCGCCGAATCCTGGTGTGTCTACCATAGTCAAATGGAGGTTTACACCATTTTCTTTAAGTAAAATTTTTGTTGTTTCAACTGCCACTGTTTTCTTTAGCCTCTGTGTTGGGCCGGGATAATCAGCCGAGTTGTAAATGTCAGTCAAAAACATGGAGTTAATTAAGGTGGACTTACCCAGCCCAGATTCACCAACTACCATTAAAGTGAACTCAAAGCCTTTCTTCACAGCCTTGCGGTACACTTGATTCGGTAGATTGGCGAAACCGACATAACCATCAAGCTCCCTAGGCTTTGGCTTCTCTTTAATAATGTCTGGCATAGTTTCTTTACCTTCATCTTTGGTTGTTTCTGGCGGACTCAGAACTTTATTTGTGTCTGTGGTCTTTTCTGTAGAAGGAACTTTAGCTAATCGATTAGAGTCTTGCTTAGGTGTAGTCTCTGTTGCTGGATTGAAAAACATTTCTCTTTTAATCTGCACTGATGATGGTGCTGTGGCTTCTGGTGTGCCACTTCCATTTGTATGTATCCCATTACTGCCATTGTTTGTGGTTGTATTGTTAGTGTTGTTGGGATCCATGAATTTTTGCCTCAAGGCAATCCTGTCCATACTTGCCAACCTATATGAGCCACCAATACTGTCCTTATCTCTATCACGATTTAAACCACCGCTGCCAGCATTGAAACTGCTTGTATATTTTGGTAGAGTGGGTGGTGGTGCTGGTTTGTTCTCCGGATTCCGATTGAGCAGGCCAGCACTGGATGTGTACATGTAACTACTGGGCATAATGTTTGGTCGGGATTTAATGGTTGCTGTTGTTTGTGTTGTCGGCACTGTGACATTCACATTAGTTCCGCTCATTTTGTCGTGACACTCGGTGCAGTTCTAAAATCAAATATCAACTATACTTGCTGGGTTGCTGTGCTTTATCATGTGATTGATGTGCGTGTCGGTTGAAAAGCCGATTTTGCGAACGCAGCAGACGCTCCGCTTGATTGAATAAAGAACGCGTACCGGCACCGAGCGGCGTGCACTACGGAATACACAAATTCGCGTCTGGTAGAAGCACACACACACACACACCACTCCACGGCTTGTAGCGGGCGAAAACGTTCGGCGGCGTCGGTTAGCAGTTAGTGTTTATAATGAGCGTCGAATGATGCATTTTTAAAACATTTGGCGTATTTCGATGCACACAACTGGTTCTTGGTTGATGTTGAACGCTCATTTGATGAGTAATGTTGAACTGGTCAGCCACGCCCGTGGCGTCCTCAGCAAGCACTCGATTGGTTTTGCCGCTCTTGCTCGCGCGCGCGTCTGCCGGGGCCCTGTGCAAGTCGGCTGCCGGTTTGTGTGTATGCGCGATGCGCTGCGTCGCGTTCTACCACTCCAAAATAATATCAGTACCCATATCAGTCTGAATCACGAACTCACTCACTAGAATACTCGCACTAATCGACTTATCGTTCGCCAAAATGTAGATAATTTTTTTTTCTATGACTCGAATCGAACCGTTTATGGTAAAATAGCAATGACTAGCGCACCAACGAGGGAAACAACGCTCGACTTTGAATACGCGCTATCGGAGGTCTCCTTGGTGGCAAGATTACCAAGCACGGCGGGCGGCGTTCACCCCTCCAGTTTCTCGTTTGCTTTGCCTGCTCCGTCTCTTTCAGCACGGGTGTTTCATGGGTTTAGCAGCAGGCGACCCGGTCGGGGGCGCTCGCATTCGCAGGGTTGCAATACATGCAATCGACCAGACAAGTTGTTCGTTTGCCCTAATTTCAGGTTCCGCATTTTTGGCTCTTGGCTCTATACAATTTCTTGTCTTATTTATTCATTCAACTTGTATACCCTCTAATCTGACATCATAATGAATTGTATCATGATATCATGAATTTCACCTAACGCTTGTCCGCGTACTTGTTACTTAAAAGTAAATTTACATTTATTGTTGCTTGGACTTAGTAAGTGACAATTAAGAAATGGTAAATGCTAAAAATGCACTTTAGCGCCATCTTCGATTGAAATATTCAACTTTAACTAGTATTGAATTTCTGTACCAATTTTGATCTCTTATTTAACTCTCTTTACATCACAATTTTCGTTATTTTAATTGTTATTCTTCTATTTGAGGCAGAGACAAATCCAACAAATCATAGATCACTAAAATCTGTCCAACCATTTTTGAGTAATAAGTGATGTAATTAACACGATTTTATATTATATACATGTACATAGATTAAATGTATATGCCTTTTATTTATGCTATTTATGCCTTTTATCGACAGAAATACTTTAAAATACCCTAAACGAGACCCAATTTAGTCCTGATTACATTTTTGAATTTATTGTGTTACAATAATCCACGTATTTGTGTGTTATATTGAAACTTGTTTTTTCCTTAATTTATAACATGTTTTAGTGTTTCTTTTTTATTCCAGAAGCATAATTAAAATGTTTTTCTTATGTTGCAGGTGAAAACAATAAAAATGCACCTCTTCACATTTGTCCAATTGATGTGTCTGGTGATTTTGTGGGTGGTCAAGTCCACCAAAGCGTCCCTGGCCTTCCCATTCTTCTTGCTATTGATGATTCCACTTCGCGGACTCCTCAAACATTTGTTCACGCCTGTCGAATTACGCGCCGTAAGTTTGTTTTTAATTACATTCCCAATTAGTGATGATTTGTGGGTTATCGACTTGTGTCCATATAGCCAAGTTCAATAGTCCAAGAATTTGCTGATTAAGTAATAATATTAATTATGCACCGCGCACAATACGAACGTGCAGTGAGTTTGCTTGTCGCCACAATCACACCTTCGATTTTTAAATGTCGTTGTGCTGAAAGTTCATGCAGGAACGTAGGAAGTTTGAGTGCCTAATTAAAATGCACATTGCGTGCAATTTTTATCCGGTTAAATCACAACGTTGCTTTGTATTTACATACCTGATTAGGAATTAAAACGTCTAAAATCTCTTCGTATAAGTTAAGCATTGAGAGTTTTTTTTTTCTTTTCTTTTTCTTGAGAAAATAATTACAGAGCTAATGTCTTTAACTAGTTTTTGCCGTGTACCCTATATTTAGGCTGTGCGCCTGGTAGTAAGTCATGGAATAAATCATCATTGTTTGCTGATGATGTGATGTTCGTTATGGCAGAATAAACAAACAAGAGCGTCGGTTCCACGACCTCTGCTGCTATCAATCGATATGTCTAACGATATCTGACTAATGCGCTGTAATCAGGCACGAACATTAGAATACCGTATGGAATTTAATTTCACGCACTGCAAATCTCTCAACAAGATTAGACCTTATCAACTAATACAAATAATACAATATATTTGACATAATAACACACTTAATCTATAAATATATGGAATGTTTTTAAATTTTATGTTTGCTTTCAATATTTTTGATTAAATATTTCTAACTATGTTGTTGATTTGCAGTTGGATGGCGACCAACCGGATGTGGACGATGACGAGCCAGATTTCTACGCCGAGGCACCACTTCCTGGCTGAACAGTAACTGTTCTCTACACACGACTTTTATGCATAAATACTTTATTGAAATCTTATCTTCTGAAGCACGTTTCGAACAAAATTAAACTAATTAATATTCGCGTCTGATTGATGTTCGCAATAAATGGTTGCGAGATGTAACTGTACCATAAAAGAATTCAAACCTCAAAATCTCGATTTTAATTCATTACTTAAGTGTCTAAAACATCTATAAAAAATGTTACGATAGCTACAGTATTACATAAATCTTAATCGAGGTTTTGATTGCGGCCACATTACTAATAAGATATGTTTTGTTAATATAATACTTACTGATAATACTGCGATAAATTTAGATGAAGATTATTAGATATTTAGGACGGTAGTGAAGTTAGGAGTTATATTATTCATCTGTGTGAGATTCCGAATTTCATCATTTGGATCCTCTAATTTCAGCTAGCAAATGTTAGAAGACTGTGATTAAAATTGGCCTCACTTTGAACTATTACTCTGACTGTACTGTAATATGGAGAGTATTTAGCCAGATATAGAGAAGAGGGATTATGTATTATGATCAAAAAACTATTCATATGCGTAAAGATATATCTTACAAACGTTTTGATTCATTGGATAGTTAGTACACAGCGCATTCGTTTTAGATTTTGTTCTCTATTAACGTAATCGGAAGTGTAGCTTCTCAAGAAGTAATTTATTTTTACCGATAAGCAATAGATTAATAAGATTGATAAATAAATAATAAATATACTTAATTATATTTTACAAGTGCATTACTTTTTCATATGTACATTTTATTTATGGCATTCATACATATCCAAACCATCCCAATGCCATTTAAAATTGTCAATTTTATAATATGTAATTTGTAAACATCATGTGGAAAACACCCTGTATCTCGTAAATTAATTGACTTTATCAAAGTTTCTCACTGCTATGTCAGAGTTGGAGAGTTCCACTACACGATGAATACCTTTTCAACTTCCTAGCCCTTTTGTAAGTGCGCCAAAATGTTTAAAAACTAGCATATTTCAAAAAATTCAAAACATAGTGTGAAAAATACCCTGCATCTCCTGTATTAATTAACTTTTCAGAAGTTTTCTAGCGTCATATTGGAGTTCAACAGACACCCTTCATGATGCATTTTATTTCAGCAATCTAGGCCCTTCAATAGTTGGCAATTTTGTGAAAATTTGAAAACATGATGTGGAAATCGCCCTGTTTCTCGTGAACTAACTGATTTTTTAAATTTCTTAACGTCATGTTAACGTTCGAGAGTCCCTCTACACTATGCATACCTTTTTAACATTATTAACCCTGGGAAAGTGTCTTAAAATTTCTTTTGAATATTGCTGTTTTGTCCAATAAATTTAATTTTTGGTCGAACAACAGAGTTGAACTTACTTTCTTAAAATATTTTCGGTCGAACAACAGGGTCGAACTTTTTTTGTTAAAATTTGTTTTCGTTCGAAGAATAGGGTGGAACTTATTTTCTTAAAAATATTTTTGGTCGAACAACAGGGTGGAACTTATTTTCCTAAAAAATTTTTCGGACGAACAACAGAGTCGGACTTTTTTTTCAATTTCCTGTGAAAACGGCGAAACTAAATTGCGATTATCTCGAGAACTAAAAGGGCTACGGCAAAAGGACTGCATATTGTTGATCCTTAAAGAATTCTCTTCAAGATGGCACCCTTCTTAAAAAAACGACCAAAAATGCATAAAAATATTTAACGAAAAGATTTTTTATAAAAAAGGCAAAAGATTTCTCTTTTTTATCTTCGAAATTATAAATTCTGTTTTCGGATTCGGATAGATCATTTAATTCTATATCGATTATTTAAGTAACTTTTTTGGCTAGCATTTACCGTTTAGTCCTTATTTGCAATTTTTCAATAGCGACAAAACCAGACTTAATTAGGGTTATTATTATCAAAAAGCTTTATTTTAAAACAAAATTTTATTAAGATAAACTATGAAGAAACACATGTTCTTCTATATTAATTTTTATTTTTTGCTTAGGAAATGATCGAGAAAACGAATAAACCAGTTTTTCGCACTTATCTTGAAAATCATTAGAGATAAAAAGAAACGGGTTTCATATTCGTATGTAGAATTAAATTTTACATTATATAAAATGTTAAAATTTACAGTTATCAAAACTTATGTAATAATTAAAAATGTTCAGTAACTTAAAAATTAATTAAGATAGCGCGACCAAACCGGGATTAATGGATTCCTGGTAATATTTTTCATCAGTTTGGAATGTTTAAGGAAAATAGGAGAGGTAGTTTTATTTGATCGGTTTTGAATTTACCACCCATTTTCCAAAATATTGATGTTATCGAAAAACTGACTTCATATCTTTCATCCCCTTGGAAAACTCAATCAATTAACATTTTCAATTTTCTTCTAGCGTAAAAAAATATTTTTGAGCCCAAAAACAGTCAAGTGTAACCTCTTGATCTTTTTGAGAGGTCTTTGGTCAACTTTGGAAAATGGAAAAACTAAATCTGCCATTTTATCGATCCATATCACTGCATGAACAAAATGAAGAAAGTTCTTTTTTACCTTTATTATTTTCCGAGAAAATCGCAGCGGAAATTTTTTTTAGGCATATGATATATTTGAAAGTTTCTAAACGTTATCTTTTCTAGAATTTCATACTAAGCATTATAGTGTTTTCGGTTTTTGTTTATCTCTTCTAGTTACTGAGATAATTTATTCTTAAGTTTCCATGTGAATACACGTTTTACTTATTGACATCTACAGAAAAAACTCTTAGTGTTATTAAGTGAAAAGTTGTTTAAATTGGATCATTTAAATTTTTTCAGGACAGTCCTGACGCCCTCACCTGCGAAACAATTGTCGATTCATCAATAAACCCAGTGCAAATAGACTAAAACTCTCTCAGTTAAAATCCGTTTATAAGTTAAAAAATGTTGCACAACATTATCAGCACTACCCAAGTATTCTATTATAAATTTAAGTCAAATAAATAACGCAATTATTAATAAATTGTGATTATGTATGCAAAACTACGTTGTCTAGTAGATTGGAGATACGGTAAAATAATGGTAAATATTGAAAAAAATGCAAGCAAAGTACACTTTCAAAAACTGAACAAATTAAAAACATAGTAAAATATAGTATAAAACTATTGTTTTTCAAAATTAAAAACATTTCTCTTGTTTAATTCGGCTGACGACTAAAATAAAAAGAGTGGGGGTGGACGCCAAACCCGTAGCGTGTAACTACACATGTGTATGATTGAAGGTTAGTCAGATTTGTACCTATTCTTTCTCTTAGTTTTAGTGATTGCAATCAAACGTTTAAAGCTATATTAGCAATAAATCATAACCATGGGTAAACAACGTAGAAAACGCACATCATTTCACACATCACCAGCAACACGTAGTACGGTTCCACCAAATATCGATGAGGTATCAGCTCAAGATCAATCAGCTGATTCACTGAACACTACACCAATTAATTTCACAGTACCCGACAATCTGTTTGCAAATGTAAACATAAACTTTGCATCGATAAAACAATCCTTAAACGATGATACTCGAAGTGTAAAATCGTTTAAATCTGCCAAATCTGACTTGGCAGCAGCTGACAAAGCAATGAGCAAGAAGGACAAGTTAAAACTACGAAAGGAACTACTACTGCAGAAAATTGATGCCCTCAATCAACAGAAAAAGGAAGCTAACAAGAGAAACAAGAGAAGAAAGTTGCCAGTAATTGGTGATACAAATCCATTACTAGATGCTCTCCCATCACTTGAGTCATTGATGACAAAAAAGAGAGAAGCTCCTGTTCAAAAATCATCAAAATGCATACAGAAGGCCACAAAGAGAAAGAAAGAAGCCATTAAGAACATGCAGATTTATAAATCTATCACAAAGAAGAAAGAATTTATTGCCAATCCTCTTCTTGCTGTTACACAGCACATCAGAGCTGTGGTTGAGGAAGAAAAGATGAAACAACAAATTAAGAAAACTAACAAGAAATAAGCACAATTAGAACACAGGATTGATTAGATTCAATGTATTATATTTAATTAATTACATTGTAGAACCGTCACAAGCATACAATGAGGACAAATAAGAAAATGACTTGTTTTGAAATATACAGTTTCAATGTTTCCACGTCAAAAAAATAAAACGCGACATAAACCTAAAACTGCGGAAACAGTTTAAACTTACTGACGTATAAGTTCAACACAATTCGGTCCAATTTAAATGACTACAAAATGATTATATAAATTCCTCAGGTTCCCTAGGCGCGTCCAAATCCCGATAGTGTACCACGGGTCGGTGGTCCATGCCGCCGCCTCCGCCACCACCACCACGCGATCGGGGCGCAAACCCTCGCTGTCTCTGCGGATACATGTTGTAACGAGACGGACCTCCATAGCCACCGTATCCGCCGCCATATGCTCCGCCATAATTCCTAAACCAATAATTAGAATATTCAAATTAAAGCAAATGTTCATTGTACTTGTTGAAAACTTACGATTGGTGGGCGAATGGTGGTGGTTCCTCACGCTTGGGTTGTTGCGGTTCCGGCAACATCGGGCGTTTGGGATCCCTTAGATAGTTATTAAAGAACTCCACTTCTTTCTTGACTTCATCGATCTTCTCGGCGTGTTTGTTGAAAATGTGCTTGCGCACAAAATCGGGTCCTTTGAATTTTTTACCGGACAATGGACACAACCATTTGTCTTTCGCTAGTTCTCTGGTGTTGGCTTGCACGAACTTGTCCATTTCCGTGTCGACATCTTTAAGTGATAAACTCACAAGTTTTGCTTCGTTCTTCACTTGTTCTTCTTTTGCTGGTTTCTCCGGGAGATAATTAGCCATTTTACTTTCTACTGCAGCACCAATATACTGAGAAATATCCGCCTAAACAAAAACAAATCATTATTATTTGTTATAATGTATTAATATTTACAAATAAGAAAATATATTACCTTTGAGTTAGGTGCTGGACCTCTGGCATGCAACAGCCCACATCTGCTTGGCATCTCATCTTCACTTGGATACTCACTGTGATTATAGTAATCAATAGAGTGCACAATCCTCAAATACATGACTATCCTATCCAAAACTTTAATCAATTCGTTGTCACGCTCAACAACAGCTGATGCATCTGACGAATCGGCAGTTGGTTCCAGTCCCAGAAGTTCTTCTTCCTCAGCGCTGCATTCTTCGATTAAATAGTCAGTGATGTTGTGCAAAACAGGATTATTGGACACCAATCCAAAGTTTTCTTCCTGTTTCTCAGTTGAGTCCGACCACAGTTGTGCTTTCTGATCCAAATGAAGAACTATTTTCGCAGCAATGCGAATATCTGAGCGCACTACCTGTTTGTGGCCGGTAATACCGCTGACATATCTAATACGCTTACTCAAATCTTTGTTAATAATCGCGCCCAAGTCAAAGTCGCGCAGACGAATGTTATTAAAATGCCAACAAATTTCCTTTATGTTCGCGTCGCGCTTGAACGTCAACCAGCCACGGCGCAGCCACCGGCGTTCAGGCTGAGGTTCGGCCAACGCCAACCGGAGGAATCCATCATATCGCGAACACATCGCAACTATTTCTTGTTTCGTTATAGTTGGTGCAAGATTACGTAAACAGATAGATGTGGTTTTATAAATGTACCTCGGACGTGGCTTTTCCTCTTGCTTTGGCTTCACTTCGATCGGCTCTGGTTCCTTGTCTTTAACTTCTGGTTCGTCATCCTTTTTCTCATCCTCGGAATCGCTGCTACTACTCGATGATGAACTACTGCTGCTTCCGGAATAAGAACGTTTACGCTTTTCGGACGGTTCCTTCTTTTTCTTTTCTTTCGCCTTCACTTCACCTTCATTGGCATCGGTTTCTTCTGGTTTCACTTCACCATCATCAGTCTCCTTGACTTCGTCATCCTCTTTGTCTTCGTTTTTTTCGCTGCTCTCATTTTCCTCAGCTTTGTCTTCGCCTTCTTCATTGTCTTTTCCATTCTTTTCTTCACACTTTACTTCGCCATCATCCTCATCATCGTCAATTTTGTCTTCGTCCATTTTATCCTCGCCGTTGGTTTTCTTTTCTTCTTCTTTCGATACTACTGGAGTGTCCTCCTGCATCACCACATCATCCTGAGTGGTTAAGTTTACAGTCTCGCCATCTTTTAACGGTATTACTTCTTCAACATCTTTCCTATCTTTGCCTTCCAGTCTATTTTGTTGATTAGTTTTATATCTAATAGAGTCTAGAAAAATAATTCACATTACCCTCACATGCAAATTTATATAAGGTTATAAGATAATCATACCTTGATATTCTTGTTCAAGCAAAGCGAAGTCTTCTTCGGTGCCATCTTCCAATTTAATAACAACAGTATCAAGTAACTTAATGAGTTCCTCGTCATGCCCGTGATCTAGACTATGCTCGTCGATTTTACCCGCATTGAATAATTCGAGGAAAACCTCCAAACGTTTCTTTACACACAACACACATATTAATTACAGTTCTCAGATTAATAGTAGATTTAAAGATTTACCTTAATAAAGTTGCTTAATTCTTCTTTACGTTTCACGGAGTCGTCTGGATGATACTTAAGTCGGAACCTAAAAATAGAAATGCATACCAATGTAGTTGCGGTCAGAAGTAACCTGATACAAAACTATAAGGAAGAGTCACACTAATGCATTCGCCCAAAATGAGTAATGACGGCACTTAAGGATTAGGGTCTAGTTAAGTGTGCATTATAATTTTAATACTATAACGACAGACGACGTCTAAAGCCCACAATTAACAGGCAAACACAAAAATGATAATGCACATCTTAAACGGGAACAATTGAAAGCATTCATACACATTGTGACACACATCATGAAATATGTAAATTAAAAAAAACAATTAAATGTAAACGTATCTCCATAAACGTTCATCTCACCTGGTTTATCAAAACCCTAACAAAGTACCCGACGAGCTGAGTGCATTGTGCGCACCCGCTCGATTGATATCAAACCGGTTTGAACGCATTTTGTATAAATATCTTATTTCCACGTTTTTGTACATATTTGTTTCGCATCTCGCATCTTTCGCGAGGCATATATCACAATTTTTACGAAGTAGTTGACACGCACATTTAACACATAATTATATTTTATGATGGCAGGAACGCTTGTCTCAATGCTGTAGAGAAAAAGGTATATAAAACAATATATTTGGAGATATAAACAAAAATAAATAAAAGTAGTCTGATAAATATCACTTGAAGTTGAGCAATATTTTTTTCATCCCGCGACTGTAGTCAATCATAATACCCTTATATTTGTAGGTATTTTCAATAATATCACTAGTATTTTGACAAAGCACTTACCACTCATCATCCTTATGTGCCACAAAGAACTCATTCAATTGCTGCCGTTGAAACTCTAGCTTATAATCATTGTATTTCTCAATTGCTTCATTATCAGATATGTTATCATCCTGTGTGGCCAGGAATGCTTTGAAAGACATCATGGGTGGTTGCTGGCCTTCTGCTGGAACTGGTGCTTGTTCTCTATGTTGAGGTTGATGGTAAGGTTGGTAATGATTGTAATAATTTTCACCATAGTAGTCTCCTCTCATCCTTTTTGCAGCAGGTTCATAGTTTGGTGAAAATCCATGTTCCCTCACCCTGCCACCATAATCGCGAGGTCTGGGCCTTTGCCAAGCATCCCTAAAATACCACACAATTTTAAGCATTATTTGATCACTGTTCACCAATTTTTAGATTCACTACCTTTCGGGCCAATCATCTCGCGGCCGCACAGGACGCTCTGCACCACGATAGCTGGCCTCCGCACGTTCGCCTCTGAATTTATCGCGCCGCTTTCTATCGTACTCATCTTCACTGTCGCCCATCCTAAAGAACTGCAAAAGTGGCACGACACCGTCATAAAAATATAGTTGTTGGCAAATAAGTACACATCTGCGTGGCTTAAATAAGTGTGTGGTTGAAACAAATGTCAAATTACCTTGGTTAAGTATGATGGTTTGGTTTTGAATGCGCTATTTGTCTTGTTTTTTCTTAAAAAGCGGCAGAATCAGACTCGCTTCAAGTGGAACTCAAAACATGGACGCTAAAATGGAAGAGCAGCGCCAGTCCGAATGCGAATGACGCGGATGATGCAGGCGGCACGAAATGACGCACAGCGTCGATCGTAGCGCCAACGGTTATTGAGAATGTCAGGTATTATTTCTACAGGGTGAAGAATAATGCTTTAATCCAGACCCTCTAAACAACAGTAATCCTACATACCGCTTAATGGTATGGGTTGGGCCAGAAGTTGCAAACATAACTAAGCAATAAGTTATGTTAAAGTTTTATGACTTACTCTAAATGATGCATGATTAAACAAGTTGACAAATAATGATCGTTGCCAAACAATGGAAATAAGAAAGACAACAAAGCACATTGCTCACCACTAAAAAAATAATAGTTGTGAGACATATCACGGTTCCAATTCTAATTACTGTTAGTCCAATTTCCAATTTAATTTTGACCCTTATTTTTTTTTAAATGAAAAATGCTAATAACGCACTTTAGCTCCAACTTAGATTCAATTCCAACCGTTCTTGAGTTATAACTAATTCAATTTTGTAATTCTGAATTACATAATTTTTCTTTTTTCTCAATCTCAACTTGCTCAACATAGTTTTACTTCAAAAACAATCTTAGGTGAAATAGCGGTTTTGTAGATCAATAAATCCACTCCAGTTATCATCACAACTAGAACTTTATTCACAGCAAGTGAATAATATATAATCTAGTGGCATATGTAACACAAAAATAAAGAAATACACAGTATATTTTCTTGGCATATGCAACTGACACCTCTGGTACTCTGACAAACTATAATTCCCTCAACAATATACCTATAATTATCATAGATCACTCTACAAAAATTAAAAATACACTTACACATTTTATAGCACATCTAAAAAGCTTGCATTCTATACACACACGTAATTTGTATTCACACCCTCTAATTACAAAAACAAATCGTAATGTAATTTCGGTCTTTATGTTTGTAGGTAACTTTATAATCTTTGGTAACTAGCTCCCGTTACTTAAATGCTGTCATTAATACCATTACATGTCTGTATATATTAAATTACGTGAATAAGCCCAATAATAAATAGCTATCAACAATAATCACAATGATTCTTGCCTGACTAAGAATTCCGATGTAGGTAGTTGTTGAAAAGTTATTTTTTCCTGGGTTTATTCACGCTCTAGTTAAAAATATACATTTTTTTCTTCTCATAACAGTAATAAAATATGTCCCCTATATACGTCGGAATACAAACTTAATAAATCTCTTAAAATATATAATGTATATATTTATATATGTGTATATTTATATGTTCATATATTAATTGTTTATACAATTTTTAGTCCTCATTTCTTAGTTTCTTTTTTTGTGTTTAGAATGATTACTGTTGTCCAAAGTTTAATTTGCACTAAATTTTTGTACAAGATCCGCTAGAATTGCGTACACACATTGTGAATACTTGTTTTACATACGTTTACTCGTAAACAGATTTTTAGTATTTACTAATTGTAGGTGGCTCTTCATAACTTACATCAACTTCGAATCCTTTGTTTAACCAGCACCAAAATGATTCATATGGAAATCACACTTGCAGAAGCCCCTGTCACAGAAAACGAATGGTCGCAATAACTTGTATGATTAATTGGCACAATTTGTAGCTTAGAAAATAAACATGTCTTCATTTGCTAGAAGCGTAAATGACCACCAATTTGCTATGACAGTGTATACATTTGCTCTCATCTCGCCACGTTTAGTTTTATGTTAAATTGCATCACACTGTAAACAGATAACACCTTTTACATCTTGCATCTAAGTGCATATTTTTACCATTAAAATCTCATTTTAAACGTTTAATGTCTTCACAATAACATTCATAATAAGTTATATGTACACCAAGTTAAGATTAAGATTAGTATACCATCTCTATTTGATAGAACTCTATTCAGAAGCGTAATTTTTCATCAAGTTTGTTCGTTAACCCCGTCCCCCATTCTACCTGGTTTCTAATTTGTTCTCAGACTCGTTGCCCTCAATACCCACAATATAATCATCTGGTTTAGTGGCGGTACGTAACGAATTGAGCAAGTCAATAATGAAACATGAAAAGGTTCAAGTTTTTTTTTCAGGGCCTTGTTTCTAACCGGCTGTGTTGGGTTAAGTATGGTTCGGATTGATGGCCATTGTCGATAGTGTTGGTGGCAATTGATATCGTCGTGTGCTCAGACTACGTTCCAGGAGGGTGCTGGGTTCACATGGCGGGTTTGGAAACGACGTTGTCCTCTTCGCATTCCTACTGCTTTAATAAGGAAAACAATTATTAGTTACTTGTATACAAAAGATGTTACTAGTGGAAAATTGCGTTGGTAGGAGTACATCTTTAGTCTTTGGTACGTTCAAGGCAAACATGACAAATACATCACGGCAACTAAGACCACAAGTGTTCGATTCAGCGCTGTCAGCAAGTTTTACGTTTCATTTGGGGAACAATGTACATCAGAATTATAGTAATACTGGTTCTACGACTGTGGGTACATGACGGCGTTTGTATATCACCATGCATAAAGCGTGCCATCGCAATTTCGGACATATGACGTGTGTGGCATAACAGAGTGCTGAGGAATTGGTATTTGCTCATATGTTACGTTTATACGTTGATAATTACCAGTCTAGCGCTACACATGACTAATGTAAACCTTGCGCTTCAGAAAACCACTGTTCCTAGGTGAAGAGATGCCCTTGTCATGGCTGAAACACGGCATCATCAACACATGCAGTACCATCTAAGTATTTCAGTGCATCTAATACGCGTTTTACAAGTTACGGCTTCTAATTCATCATGATATCCCTGTTTGAACATGTTTTATAATCCTGAGAAGGTAACTCTAGAATGGATAGAAGATGATCACTCACCTTCGCCGCCTCGAGAAGGGTTGTCCAGGCAAACCAAAGTAACCTCTCGGAATGACCATTCGCGCATTACCCTGAGCCGGCCGTGAGCCGCCGTGCGCCATTAAAATCGCCAGATGTGCCGCGTATCCTTCACTCAACACGGTTGCAAGCGAATGTTGCTTCTTGGGCACCTTTCCAACGATAAATATTTGTCTTGGTTTCAGCCCGATGGAAGTGTAGACACTAATATCCTTGCTACTGCCGTACGCCGAGTGAATAATGATATTATGATTCTGCAAACAATATAAAGGATTGTCTATTGCCCTGGGACGTTGAAAATAGAAACCTATACCTGTATTAAATTATTTAAGTAAGCTGCTTTATGGCCGAGTGGATCAGTCGATAAGCCGTCTTGGAAGGAAACCAATCCATGCGGGAAATTGTGCTGCGACAACCAAGAAACGACTCGATGATGTTGCATATCCGGCCGGCCAGTGGTATAAATGATTAAATATCCCAGCTCTTGCCAGTGTCGTACAACGTCCACAGCGCCGGCTCTAACTTTCGGATCTCTACCCGTCACTGACATGCTGGCCGTAAATGAACCGTCTATACTGAATACGACGCACTCTGTTTGCGGTGGAACTACAGCCATGAAGAAGTCAACCGATGTATGGTCACCGCGCACCACCATCTAATGCATATTTGACTTGATTAGCAACACAAACACGCAAATACCCACGGTTGCCACCTACCTTTATTGGATATAGCCCGTATCCCAGCGTTTTTTCATCACGCATGTTGAATGTAATTCGGCCCGCTTTGTCTGTCACCTCTGTGGCAACATGTGTCCATTCGCCGGCCGGTACGTCTCGCATCACGTGGATGTCGACTTTCTCGCCGGTCAACGTAATCATGTCCAATGGACCGTACATGAAACGCGCCACAAGTGTCTGCGGCATGCCGTCTCGCACGATAACATCGTTGGCTCGATGATTGGCGGCAACGTTCTAAAAATAGCAGACAACAACGTGCAATATTTCGTTGCCGTGATGATGAAAATTTCATACGACAACCACCCCATTGTCAACGCTTGTAATTGAAAACTTACTTTAAGCTTAACGGACGTGCGCTTTCTCATCCACTTTTCACGCGGTTGGCCCGGGTGGAAAACGTTCTCCCTATCGACCTCGCCAGCCAGCGGTAAGCCCTCCAAGCGGCCGACTTGTCGCAGTATAAATGCAATCACGTCACTGCTCTCCCAATAACTGGCGTGGAATAGGTGCGGTAATGCGTGCGTCGGGAAGTTTGATAAGCCCTCTGGACAATAAAGCGCGTAATCCATCCGTTTGCCGCCCCACCATTTGTGTTGCACTAGAATATGAACATTGAAAATTCATCCCCAATAGCCATATGCATCCACTCACATGCACTGATCGCTTGCAATGGAATGTTATCAATAATTCCCGAAACCGTGCTTTGAATGGACACTTCCGATAGTCTTCTCGTCACTTGACAGTCATTGAACATTTGCGGATTGCTTTGGAGTATTTCAACTGCAAGATAACATTATAAACCAAAACCCAAACAGGCTAAAGCCAGTGCAGGACTCACGTAAATGATAAGGTTGCCCATTTCCTAGTGGATATTTTACATATCTAGCTATGTTAACTGGCGCTAGCATGGAGAATCGCGCTGACAACAGCGGCTCCAACCTGGAAGCAACCGGATCGGTGGGATGGAATAAATTGTACACCTGAAGACAACTTGGACGGGTGATTGAAACTGTAAACAAACATTGTATCATGTATCAAAGCTTTAATTACATTCTAAAGTGTTCTTACCATTTTTCTCTTCGCACGAGGATATCTTCCGATGCGCCAATACAAGCGCCAGCGGACTCCCAAACATAAAAAAGTCATTCACGTCAAAGTCGAATTTGATTTGATTTGGCTGTTCGCTCACAGACGACGACCGCCGCCTCGGCGACGGCGCAACGAGATATCCGGTTTCGTTAATGAGCGCAGCCTCGTCGACGCGATGCATGGGGTCGTGTTCCAGAATGCTATTTTCACTTCCGTGCCGCGATTGGTATCGCGTCGTTCGGCAGAGCGCATCGTAGCCGAGAATTGATCCGACCGAATCGCCGACAATGCACACTTGCCCAGTGAATCCCTGGCCTTCTTCGGAGCGCAGAAATTCCTGATACACGATATTGGCTCCGTTGATTGTCTTTGTGACTGCCTCCTGGTAATCGGCATTTGAGCTCGCCAACAATGGTATTGCGCCGATGGGTATGGAGTCGTGAGTTATTTGAGGATTATCTGTACATGACGGGGACACGTCGAAACTGTATGGGCTTAGGCTGTAATTGAACCAAGCGGTTAGCCAAAAATAGAAACTGCGTGTTTATTTTTACCTTGATAAAATTCCCAGACTTTCCGTGCAGATAGATGGACACGACACGAGTTTAATCGTGATGTGCCCGACCAGCGTTGGATAGTGTTGTCGCATGACGGACTCGAATGCGCCACGGAAAGTAGTCACATCCGACTTTTTCGCTGTCAAGTCCACATTAGCATCTGCACAAAACACAACCCGCCCAATCAATAAACTCTACAAGTAATAATAATACTAAACACGTACCCAATACACTGCCGGCGTGGAAAACTAAAAGCAATACGGTCGTACTGCAGGTGACATGTCCCGGTGACGCCGTGGGCGATTCAGGACAGCCGGCATCCAGGGAATTCATCTTACCGCGCTGTAGGCTTTTCTTATTGCTGCCTCGTTCACTCGCCACTCGTTGCAGGAATGTCGGCGAAAATATGCTATCATCTAAACACACAAACCATACTTTACAACTATCGACAGGCATCTACCGGAAAATAAGCACCTGTCGCACTATCAACTACAACCGTCGGTGAATTGTTCTCGCCGTCCTCCTCAGTGAGCAAGTCAAGGGAACTCCACTTCGCTAAACAGGATGCTTCACCTAAATCAGCCTGACAGTCGAAAAATTCCTCTTCCGACCCCGATTCGGAATCACGACCCAAACTCTCAATCCGCCAATTGGCTACTTGCAAATCAAAGCTCTTAATGGACGAGGATGCTGGCGAATGCAACGCCCGCATCGGTTGGTGTTTGACCGGCAACCGCATTTCTGGCTCGTCCGGCGATAAGTCGTCCGAGCTAGCGGCCGTCTCAATTTTCGGAATGTTTTTCGTCAGCAGCGGGCTCTCCTCTTGCTTTTCAATGCTGCCGAGCGTCTGTTGCAGCGTCTTACCGCCATTGTGATCGCTGTTCATATTGTTATCTTCGTCGATCTCCTCTTCGGCAGCCTGGCCCATTTTACGTTTGAGCGCTAGCTGCGTTTGACGTTCAAGCTCCCGAATATCTTCCATTGTCAAGCCATGCCATTCGTCCTGCCATGCCCACGCTTGTCGATGAGCACGTAACATTGTTTTTCGAAGTGCTGCGAAAGTCGGGAACGAGTTAAATGTGTGCACATGTTTCCACATCAACAACATAAGTTTCTTTGATCTGCATAAATATGCGTAGTTGGCACTTGTTCACGTGTCACCAAGCTTAGAAAATACAAAACAAACCATTTCCTTTGCAGCAAAACAACTAATTAATATAAAAGCTATAAAAAACACTTCCGTCTTTTCATGCCCCAGATTTCAATTAAATTCAAGGCCATTCAGCTAAAACACTGAATGAAAATGGGCGCCGCCGATGTCATAATCCAATATTATAAGTTCAATACCATTCGATAATCTAAATTAGCTAATGGAAGCTATAAAAGTGTATGCGCGACTTGGTATGGCGTGCACGTGTAACGTGTGTCCTGGGACTTACCGATATCGTGAATAAATCGCTCGATTTTCGTCTGCATTCCCCAGTAGCGAAACTCGACCCGGCACAATTTGTAGGCACACATTAAGCTCATCCCGCTGGCGGTCGGCTGCGCCTTGCCCTGCACATCGCGCCAATGCTCATCCAGCCAATTCTCGCTCAGGGGGCCGCGGCCCGACTTCTCCGAGATGTACTGTGTGGGATCCTCCTCCTTGACGTAATCAGCGCCGTATAATTGATCTTTAACAACGTCGATGAGATCGACGATTCGATTACGCAGATCCGAGCCGCTTAATTTAAACACGTTCTCCTGGTGGCCATTATCGGCAAAGTAGTACGTCTCAATCTCCAAGGAGAACTTCTCCACAAACGGGCACGTGTACCGCGTCTTCGTGTAGGGATATGCATTCCACGCTTCTTCTTCGACCATTAGCGCTGTCTTTGGTAATATTCCTTTTAGCCATCCTTGAGAAATTACACAATTTTAAATATAAACACATTTTTTCTTTACTGTCTACGCAATGTATACATGGACAACATGCGTACCTGGTAAATGACTGCCCACGTGATAAATTTTTCTAGTATACTGTCCATTACCCCCAGGTCCATCATCGTACGGTTCGTTAATCAGAATCTCTACGCCGCTGCCATGTCCGCTGCTTTCTTCGCGACTTTTTTTCTAACAAATAATCACTACTAATCAGCATCTTTAATCACAAACAAAAAAAAAAAACACACAACTTACTGCTATCATATACAATTGGGCTATCCTATATTCTTCTACGGTTAATGGCAGAGGAATCCTATACTCCTTTATCAACATCTTGTCGCCGTATCACACCACCGCGTTAAATATCACATTTCCAGATCAATACACTTGTTAATACGATTAGTAGCTTATAACGCTAGAGTTGACGATTATAGTAGCCAATCACATCTGAAACAAATGGATTAAAATGTTATTAATATGATCTGTCCGCTCGGCGATAACAAAATGCAAGCCGTCTGCTATCTACGTAGACATGTGCTAATATTACCACGCGCATACATTAATAGTCTATGTAATTATGTTGATATTTTGATATAAAACTTACTACATAGTTCATAATAAATTATTAGATAGCAATTCTTATCGCTGTGTAATTAACTGCAGTTGTGCGAATGATTTGCAATTATATTATTACTAGCTTTTTTACCAGCCGCGACTTCGTCCTCATAGTTTTTAGTAGGTCTAACAATACAGGTAACTAAATTTTACTTTCTTAAACCTTATATGCAGATTCCATCAATTAGATTCGCAATTTTATTTTAAAGAAATGAAAAATTCTAATAATACACTTTAGCGCCATCTCAGATTCAATTATTTATGATTAAATTTCTCCAGTTTTCACCTCTTATTTAACACCCTGTAAGTCATAATGTTTAATATTTTAATAGTTATTTTACTATTCGGGACGGAAATGAATCAAACAAATTTTAAATCATCAAAATCAGCCGTTCTTGAGTTATAAATGTTGTAACTAACACGACTGTTTTATATAGATTAATATTTTGAATTAGTCTGAAATGGAAATAAATTAAGTCTTCAGTTCTTTATAAGTCGTTTACAGGCCCATTGACATTACACAATACTTTTTAAAACACGCTGGCAGGATAATTGAAGTGACAATGTGGCTCGTCGCCCACGCTTGATTTAATAAACGATAGTGTCATTTTATTGGCTGTAACCTTCCGGCAACAACCTCTTGCTGAATAATAGGCTTGTTTTCAGATGGCATAGAAAGTGCCATTTTTTAAATTAAACCGATATTAGTAAAACCCAATGGAATTTCTTAATTGCTTTTTCTATTGTGTTGATATGTTTGAATAATATAAAAATTGTACTGTTTTTATTACTGTTATTAGTGAAATACATTGTATTAAATTAATTAGGTTACATTAGTGTAATTACTTAATTATAATCAATTTATATAGTTTCCATGCTTAAAATTGTCACCTTATTACTGCCCCTAATTAGAAAATACATAGAATAACAGTGAGTAAACTGTTTAAATATAATATAAGTAATTAACAAAATGTTACTTAAAAATAATCAAAGTAACCACATTTTATGGATTGTTGTATAGTATACCTAAATGAGTTTCAATTGCAGCTTTTTTTTAAATTCCACATTTACATTATGCCATTTGAAATTATAAAAAAATGTAGGCATTTTATATCAAAAAGCAATTTAAAAGAATAACAAAAACTTGTTATACACATCAAAATTTTGTAAATAATAAATCTTTTATTTGCACAATTAAAGCGTTTCCAACTGCAATTGTCTAAGAATTGGTAAGTACACAATTGAAACACAATAGATCAACTATTGTGCTCGGTACTTGTATTACAACTCAAACAATAGGCAATATATAACCAAGTTTATGTATAAAGTGTTTAATAATGTATGTAATCCACTGATTTCCATAAATGAATTGAATATATTTCTTGTACTATCATACAATTTTTAAATTTTTGACATGTTTTAGAATTCAAAATTTTCCAAAAACAATTAAATAGTACACATTAATATTAATAGAAATGTCCTGACGAAATTTTGATGTTAATTCGACATTGAATTAGCATCTACGCACCCAAATATTCGAATTTATATAATTTTAAAAGCATTATTTACCTAGAGCTCACAAAACACTTAATTTAATTAACTAAAACCCAATTGGGAAGCCATAAACCAATAATCAATAATTTTGCCCAAAAATATCGAAGTAAAAAACTTAATTCCATTATCGAGACAATACTGCCAAATAATAATAATAAAAAACTATTTTTAGAATAATTTTAGGACACATTTTATTCTTCAATTTTTTTCCTAATATCATAAAAGCAACATAAAATATGAAACTTACACCTGGCCAAAATAATACTCGTATATCAATAATGTTACTAAAAAAAATATGTCACCACAATATAAATCCCCCGGGAATACCGAGAAATAGTAAGTACGTGTTAATATAATCCAACCTTCAAACGTTTTCAAATATTAAATCCTTACAAGCATTTACTCTCAACTCGCTGAATGAGCATGAATAGTTAGCACGAGGTTTCGAATAAAGTTATGCACACACGACGCCAACACCACGCAACCCAATTGCGCACCAACGGGACCGAACATAATTGGATTCAACAATTTACTACCTCACTTACGACGCCGCGAGTGCCGCCGCTGCAATATGTATACATGAATCATAAACTGAGGGATGCTGGCTACAGAATAAACACATCAGTATATCACCGTATTACATTCAGCTACCCCACAAATATCCATAGGTATATAATTAGCCCATTGTTTATATTTAAACATATCCGCTGGTTTTCTAATGTAAATTGTAAACACACGCGTTTAAAATTTAAATTTACCTTTGCACGAATGAATCCCACAGGCGTGCCGCACATCTTCGTTAATCAGGCAGCTAATTAATTGTGCAAACATTCGAGGCGCACATGTCGAATCAAATCGCGTTCGTGTGGCTTCGTCGAGATGGTCGTATGTTGTGTTGTTGTTGAATAATTAATAAGATTCGTTGCTCTCACGGCGGTGGTTGCGTAGTTTACGACCGCACCGACCGAACCTATGCCAACACACACTTGTGGTCGCCTGAGCGCGATTTCGACTGTTTTTAATTTTAAGTTTATGCCCGCGCGCGCCAATACCCAAGGCTGTGGTTGTGGTGTTATTCAATTATTTCCGGCAAGCAAGAATTCATAGCTGCCGGCGTATGCACTCAGTATGCGTGCGAGCATTGTTTGAAATTAAATCGCGACGCACGCCTGGCGGCTGGGGGCGGCGGCGTTTGCACATGCACAAGAAATTCGGGATGCGCACACACCACAACGTGTCCACGCGCTCGTCGTCGGCGACTATCTGAGCCTGAGCGCGCGGTCCCGCCGTAGCGGCCAAGGTTTTCCCGGCGACTACCTACGTACGCCGACGAGGGACTCGACGAAAGGATATTGATCGAGCTTTACGAGAGGTTACTTTATTTATACGGGATGTAACCGAACGGCGCCTTTCGCTGCGTCCGCAATTAACACATCAAACCCGCGCAACACTTGTCATACATTTGCATTCGAGTATCTCGAGCTCGTTAGATAATTCCCAACTACTCGACGACAACCTCAACTTTGCCACTCGAAGCACTCGGTGGATCTTAATGTAATTAATGAACTGTTTAAGTGACAACTGTCACGTAAACAAGAAACATGTGTGAAGGCTCTGTCTGGGCTATTTCAAAGCGCTGACATGCGGATGTGTACAGTGTACACCCAGTTGATGTTTCAAAAAGTGTGAGCGCGCCAAAACGGACATCGCGCGCGCCGGAAAAGCGCGTCGAACATAATAGAAAAGGATCATCGCTATCCACTACGATTATAGCTTACAGCGCTAAGGAGTTTCAAGACGTAAATGTGTCGCGTTTCGCTTGCTGAAGGACTTGAGAAGAAAAGTTCTCTAATGAGTTTTTCGGGCGACGCAGGAAAAAAATGAAGAGCGCGTGCTGCAAATAGTTTCTCTTTCGCGCTATGACACCGTGTGCGGAAAATTGCGCGATGGAAACTGGACCGCCCACTTTCATTGTGAAATTGGAGAAATAGCCAGCAAAAATCAAATTATCTTTGTACGCATTTTCGCAGAATTTTCTATTATTATAACAAAACTTTTATATTTCAAATTTCAAGAAAAAAAATTACAAAAAGTAAAATACAACTTTAAAAATCGAATATTTCAACGTCTACTCAAATGCATGTAGGCTATAAATTTATTTTAAATTTGATTTGATGTGGAAGTTGTTCGGTGCTATAGTAAGCTATTTAAATTTTGAGGCATTTGGAATGGACATGTAAACATAAATTTGATTCAAAAATAAACTCTCGGGACGGACATTGACGAATCGCAGTGGCAAAAATTTGCTGCGTGACTAGAATCGTTTCCCGCTTGGAAGACGACGAATGGCACGAATGATAGGTTGGCAAATGCAAGCGGGCCTAGTTTATGACCAGAAGATCTTAACAATTTACCAACCACTTAAATACGTGATGTGGCATTAAAGCAAAAGTTTTTTCTTCGATTGTAATTTAGTAGATTGAATGCTGGTTGAAAATTTAGGTACGTATAGTTACAATTTTATTAAGTATTCTAATATTATCTAAATGTGTGAATATATGTTTGTTACACTTTCACGCCGAAATTTCTGGGACAATTTTGATGATATTTTTAAATATTACAGCATATTTATCAAAATAGATAATAGGCTACTTTTTGTGACAAATTATAACTTAAATTGTGTAAAAAAAGGGAAGAAAGTTGGTATTAAACATAGTTATAGATTTCTAAACAATATGACTCGTTTTTTTTTAAATAAAAATTGAGAATTTTATTGAAAAGGCCAGCGCATACTTAACAGCTTTCAGAATCATAAAAGTTATTAGTTAGGCTACTTTTCACTAAAAGTAAAATTATTATTATCATAAATGAATAGGACTATTTAAGGACTTTTTAAGTATTTCAAGAAATAAAGAAAATGATCAACCCCACCTGATACATATTTCAATAAGACACCTAACAACTTCTTAATATTTCATAATTACAAAACTGAATTGCACTGGCCTACAGAACTTTTTTAAGCAAAAAAAAAAAACGTTATAGGTACTCATATTAATTTTCCTGAGTCGGGCATTTATTAATCCAATTAATTTACGATGATAAAGGAAATAAACTCCGCATGTGCACGTTTACGGACACTTTACCTTGGCTTCCGCACCAGCGCCACCCGACATTTCGCAAAACTACCATCCAACATAAATAAGCGATGCACCAAAAGCACGCAACCAAAGCGCACTTTACCGGATTGCACGGCACGTCGAATACATACACAATCCTCGCTGCAACCAGCCGCCATTAAATGTTTCATCGATGCTTAATAATAGTAATAATAATAAACCAATGGCAAATGCACGTTTCCAGCACTCAGCCGGCTTAGCGAACCGCTTTTTTTGTTCATACAGTTAATAAAATGTGTATTGACGCAAAACGAATTTAACGACCGCATAAGCGATGGCAGTAAACATAATGGTCATAAAGACGCGCCAAATAAACACAACTACAATGTTTGGCGTTGAAGTTGGAAATTCTAAAAATGAACAAGTCTACTCGTACATCGGAAACGCTAGATACATCTTGAAATTTCATGAATGGTATGTGAAATGGTTCGGGGAATTTAATTCAATAAAAGTGAATCAATATTAGCTATCATTCAAGCGCATGTCATGAGTGCCTATTTTGGAATCGAAATAAATTGCATTCAATAAATATGCAAACTATGATTCGTTGGTGGGATGACAAGGCGATTACCAAGGCGATTGTTCAATTGTTCAACTCGTGGGGTAGAATCATGCATTCTTGGCTTATCGATCATATTGTGGAACAGACAAGAATTGGATATTGGCATGAAATTCACACTTATTGTATTGAAATGCATAGTGCCTACATACGAGTATTGTGCGAAATGCGAGTATTTTTGCATATTGTCAATCTCAGATTTGCTCTGATTACTTTCATATTTTGCATTCATTGCAATAACATATTGTAGATTTATTTTTAAAATCTATTTTTAATAATTGTGTTGTGAGTTAATTATTCAAAGGAATTGGTCAAATTATAGGTTAGTTCAACGTAAAACACTGAAATCAAAATAAAAAGATAAGAAAAAAAATCTGAAAATTATAAAAATATCAATTTTTAGTACAAAACAAAAAGTTATTCTATTTTACTTTTTAAAACTGTAATTAAATGTTTTTATATAATTTTCCGTAATGTTATAAAAGCTAATAAATTTTATATAGAGAAATTTCAAGCGTATAAAAGCAACAAAATTATATTTCACAAAATTTCCGTGAATAATAAATAAACCTCAAATTGGTTAAATTATTCACAACAAAAAGTGCACTTCATATAACACACACACACATATTTTTCTTTTTAAAAAATATATAGCATTTTCATATCATACAATTCAGCCTATTTGAAGAGATAACAATGGAAATGCGATTGTTTATTCAAGCAAACAAAGATACTACAAGACACTCACAAGACTACCATAACACTCCAATTTAAAAAAACAACAAAAAAGTTATCTACTCGTACATAATACTCGAAAACGCGAGAATCTAAAATATTTATGCCGAAATTCCAACCGAAGAAACGTCTTCATCGTCTTCAATATAATTTTCGTGCCCCCGAAAACAGCCCTCGGTATTTGTGGGCCAAACGCAGTTTCGTTGACGTCATCGAGTCCCCGTGACGTCATAACTCCTAATCGATTATGTACACGTACGCGCAAAGAAACGGAAATCCATTCGGCACGGCCAATTGAAAAGCGAAGCTCTCGTAAACAAAGCGCGAATGATGTGCCCAGCACGCGGCACGCTGATACTAGTGACACATTTGTGTTGAATATGTAGGTCGATCATAAAAAGGACCAACACTCGTTGGTGTACTGTCACCGCGCGTGATTACAGCGATCAAAATCACGGCAAAACGTGTTACACAAAGAAGATTATTTAACAAGCGGCAAACAAGGGTTGTTGGCGGATTCTTCGCGCCGTGCTTGGACTGCAAGGGTTTAATTAAAAAATCGTTACGACGTTGCGTTGTGGACATGGTATCATATAGATACACGTCTCGTAGGGAAACTACCCGCTGACAAATGGGCATATGGAAATAGTTTCAAACACGGTTTTTTCTTTTGTTTGTATTTATTTATGTTTCGTATCCGTTGTTATACGAAACACTATTATGTTACAAAATAAACAAATGATTAAATTACATGTAAGGAATATACGATTATTTTTAGAGCAGAAAAAATCAATGGAGCTGTCGAACATGTAAAATTATGTTGTAATGTATGGTATAGAAGCAAAACCATGTATTCCAGAATAGGTAATATTAGTAATCAACATTTCTTTTACTTTTGTTATAAATTAAGTTGTGATGTATTTCTATGAATATTTCCAGGAATTATTTCTATAAAAACACCAATTTGACAAAAAATCTGTTTATAAAACGATAATTCATTTTGATAATTTTTCGAATTATCAGAAAGAGTTGCAATAATTATGATAAAACATATAATCCTGCCTTCCTAGATAGATTATTATCAGTGCTTATGACTAATAAAACAATTACTAGACAATTGTGATAATAATCATTTCTACTCTAATTGATTAATTAGTGAAAATAATAAAATGAAAAACAAACAATAAAATGAATCATTTCAATTTAGATTCGCGGAAAATTAAAACTAAAAGCTCCGTAATGAACGAAAAATAACACCCACTAATACGTGTTGTTCCAACGCAGAGAAACAACTGCGCTTTTATGGAGAATCTGCATAAATTTCCGTAGCGTGTAATGAATATAATTAAACGAGCCTCGCAGGTCCTGCTTATTCCCGTGCGCAGTCAAACATGAATACGAACGAACGGTGAACAAGGGGATGCATGCGGCGCTCGTGCACGATATTTGCGCGCAGAGGGCATCCACAACGGAGGCGTTACGCAATTAATTCCTATGTCTTTCATAACGCCGCCGCTGATGAGTTGCGAGTAACTGTGGCGGAAAACTGGAAGCAGTGGCAGCAGCAGGAGGCGTTGAGCCGGGAGCGTCGAGCTAAATCCGGGAGCAGTGTGCGTCTCGCTGCTGCCCCACGCCGTCCGCTAAAGCCGGGGGGTCGCAAAAGCGCAAACGCTCCCGTTTCCTAAATGTCAAAGGTGACATCGTCGCGTAAAGCGTAGATTCAACTCGCGGAAAACTGCAAACTCGACGCGCTGACGCCATGCAACATTTAAAACGCGATGTAAACAGAGATGAGAATCGCACTTTGCGCGACACGCTTTTGTATCTAATGCGCGGAATAATTGCACGCGTTGCCTAGCAACGCTTTAGTTTAAATATACATTATGATATTCCTCGAATACACGCATGTACTCTGCAAACAATTTGGATGCAATAAAGGAGTTGCTACGAAAATCAAAGCCTTGGACTTTGAAGCATTGCGCGATTTATTAAACCGGTACCAAACGCTCGAACAAGTTAATTACGATTCACGTAAGCGCCTCACTATATTATTATGATGTACGGATATTACGCACGCTAATTAGAAATGATGCGTCGTAGACGCAGACCAAACGCGAAAACACTAATTAGTTGCAAACAAACGGTTCGACTCACCTTCGTAATACTGTTTCGGTCATTGTTGGTGTGCACTTTAGTCAGAAAATTCGTTTTCATTGGATTAATTTTAAATCGATTGCGATGAAAACAAGCCGTGGGCAGTCGACGGTTGCCAATCACTGAATAACGAACAAAACACAATCAGCTGAGGTGCGTTTGACATTCTGACGTTATGAAAGGAAATAATCCACATTCGCACATGCAGCGCCATCTGTCAACTAAAAGTCACACGAATTTATTTACAAAACGAAAAATATGGTTTTACTTAATTAAAAGCAACTTTTATATTATTAAAACAATTTAAAAATCAAATATATTCTCTCATACAATTAATACTGTTTATATTTTATATATTAAAGTATTAATTTTATATTTATACTGGCGCCATCTATAAGGATATGACTGAAACACTACATAAAAATTTTTAAAGTTACTCGTTTCAATTGTTTATCAACAAACAAATGATTTGTTAAAAATCATTCGCATGCGAATTCAGGTAATATTAAGTGTACTTGTTGATTAGTACGTGTATAATTTAAATGTGAACCGGTAGCGGGTGTTTAGATTGCGTGAGCAGCGCGAATCAATAAATGTGCGCAATGTGCGCGACTAGCGCGAGCAAAGCGAAGGCGAACAAGTGAACAACGCGAAAGTCTGCGCTAGGCAGAGCGAGTCGCCGTGTGAATATATAACGTTGACCATCTGATTTTATTCTAATCTAATAAATCCGCGCATTAAACAGTTAGTAAGCTGGCTGTCGTTGCACATCGTGGCGTGTTCAGCAATGTTGTGTCGCTGTCAGACCTGACGCATTTTTCTAATGTTTCGCAGCATCAAGTACAAGAAACCTTATGTGTTAAGTGTTAAATATTTCTATCGTAGCAAACAATTATAAGAAAACGATGCGAAGCTATGCATGTTGAACGAGTACTCTCTATCTGTGTCTTATTTCTCTTTGTAATTACCGCAGGTATTTATTAACATCCTTTACTTAAACAAATCTCTATTTACTTCAAACAAATTCAAATCCAAAGCGAATCATTCAACAAAATTACGTGCGTTATAATGTTTAGGGATGCATGTTGATGATTTATCTAGTAATTCGAGTCTCGTGTGTGTGTGATGTGTAACAACAAACAAAGACGCGACACTTTGTTGGTCGATTGTTGTGTTAGCGACACATAGTTATAGCGATTGTTACCCATCTAGTTGGCAATAGAGGATAATGACCACATTATGCAACTAATTACACCGATTACAATCATTTTGTTCGCTCGTCCGATTTGGTTGATTTTGAGTGTCGCCCGTACCTGATATTTTGTGGAAAACCACGGAATGCGCACTCATTTCTAATTCGAATTAGGCGTGCATTGACGATCGTGATGCGGACTTTGGTGGTTGTCTTAAATGCGCTCTTGTGTTTTGTTGCAGGTGCGCTCACACGTAACAATGAGTATAAAATCAAAAAGTACTATGTCGATATCAGGAGGAATCTGACGCTGATATGCCCGTTAAGGGGGAGTGATTTTATGTGGATACGTGAAGGGCGCGACGAGGAACACGAAGTGCCCAAGTTGACAGTGCTTGACGATGGATCACTCTTTCTCTCCGATGTGGAGAAGAATGATTCCGGAGTGTATAGTTGTACGGCAAACGATTCGGATACCGAGGATGATAGTATAGCGAAGATGGAGGTTTTCGTCAGAAGTGAGTCATTTTTGTTTAATTTAGATAAATTTATTTTTAGTATATGTTGCAAAACTGGTTTTGTTTTCATAATGTGATAACAAATATTTTATATTAATTTAATTACCATATTTGTTATCGTGCACGAATTTTATGTAAATCATGCAATATTTTATTCATGTTGAAACATGCCACTGCATAATTTATTCAAACAAACTAAACAAACAAAATAAACACCTACGTTTTACACAGTTATATTGTAGTAATCTTATTTGGTGTGTTGAGTATAATCTTTATACATTTAACACGTTTTGTTAGTGATATTTGATTTAGTGATATTGATAGTGATTTATTGTTTAGAATAATAGATCAGGAATCGGATTCAATGTTAGAAATGTTTGTTAGCACATATTATTTCATCACAGTTAGATATTTTGATAAAACATTAAAAATTTTTTTAAAAAAACTGTGAAAAACTAAATAAAATATATTTTAATATAGATATTGACGTAATAAACCAATTTATTTTATTGTGAACGAAATCGTTAACTTTCTCTTTTAGTTTATCGGTAGTCATATTTAGTATTGCTATAACTGTACAATGATATAAATAGTTTAGAAAATCATTATTGTGACGAGATATAATGGTAATTTTGGCGTGCTAAACCATTCAAATATTCGCTTAGGTGTTATCTGCGTGTTTTATTCAGGTTCGTGTTAGGTGTGTTCACATTTTACACAAAATATTTAATTTTACACAAAAGAGTGCTGCCAAATTTCATCATTATTATTTTGAGCGTTAAAACCTGGTTCAATCACCGGTCAAATGGTACGATGACATTTAAATCTACACCGAGTCATTTTTTTCTCTTTCCGAATTTTCATTTGCCTGATCCACCAATCTTCTTAATTTAAATGTCTCTCTTATTTATACAAATAATTTCGATAGTTTATGATTGACAGCAAACTCACATTTGCATTTATAATTCACCCCGAAATTTTACTCTTCAAATTAAATTTTCATTATTGTCATATTTTCAGCACCTCCACCACCACTAATCAACGTTCACGTGCATGCAAGCACAATCCTGGCTGTAATCCTATGGGGTGTCAGTGGCGACGGCGGTTACCCGATTAGCTACTTCACTGCCCAATTTAAGCAAACCGACGTCGAGGAAGAATGGATGGACATCACCCCAATCCACATAATGCCAAGTTCGGTAAGACCAATTTCAATCTCAAAATGTATCTCACCAATGTATTCTACGTATTATGCTAATAATATCTCGTCAATGTCTACACTTTCTCTCCGAACAGAGGCAGATTGACGTGTATAAATTACTCCCCAACACAACATACGCTTTTCGCGTGTGGGCAACCAACCAGCTCGGCGACAGCGATATATCGGTGGTTTATCAAACAACGCGGATATCCAATGAAACTGCAGGTCAGTGATACTTCCCATAGTCAATAATCGCCTAATGTAGACAATTGAATAGAAACCTGATTGTTTATGTAGTAGAAAACTCGGTCAAAAATCGATTTCACATCGACTATGCTACCTGGGACCTGGTTTTGCATGTTTGCAGATGTAGCGCATGTCTAAATCTATTGATGAAATATTTATTAACATAATCCATTTTATCTATTTCAGAACTAGTGCGTCACTTCCTTGAAGGCGCCAAGGACTTCGACACACGTGTTTGGGTACTGGCTGTCGTCATCGTGATGGGCACCCTGCTGGTGCTGGGCTTAGGCACTTGCTTTCTGCTTTATCAGGAGTGCAAAGTACCAGGTGGTAAGTGATAACCTATTGATGTGTACACCAGCAATGGAAATGCATGTGTGTGCGTGTGGCCAGTGTGTAATTCACACGACACTAGAACGTAGTTATAAATTCACTCTTGCTGCTGCAATTGCTACGATATTCCTCACTATAATAACGAAAAAAAACCATACAATATCCTCAAACGCAGCTACGGACAAAATGCTTGTATCTAATTCTAAGTCATAGCTTCAACTGATGTGTCAATGATTCAATTGAAAAAAAAAAGAAAGAAAGAAAAGTGATCGAATAGTGCTGTATATGTAAATATTACATAGCTTATTGTTTTTGTTTTTATTGTACATATGTGTAGAGCATGTTATATGTGCACGATCAATGAGAAGAGAGAAATAAATGTCGGATTAGAACGAACAACCGCTTGCTCACGTTTATTTGATTGGGTGCATCGCGAAGCCTGAATGTCGACTCTCATCCGTATTGTTGCTTTGTTTTTCTCGCCGTGAATTGTTGAAATGTCAGAAATGGAGGATCAAGAAGTGATTGAGCTGGTGCCGAATATTATCCTCAATCCGGGTTTCGAGGGCAACACGCAGCTGATGCCGGCGGCCGACGAAAACTCCAACAACGAAACAACGACCCGCCTCAACAATAACACCGTTGTTTACCAGCGCAATCAATAGACGAGATCATCATCTGATTATCAGCATTGTTGCATAATGTTATTAATCTAATCACCGAGCGTACGTGCATAGATGCGATATTATTCAAAATTGATTTGATTTGATGTGAGTCTGTTGAGAAGATAATTACAGTCATTACGGGAATTAATTGAATGATACAACGAATTGGCTACAATCGGCACGAAATGAAAACTAAAAACATGCGAAATTGACAGAAATCAGAGGAAGATACAATTATCATATCCACTTGCACAAATTAAGAATTATCTGCAAAATTATAAATTAAACTAGAAAGGCTTCCATAATCTAGTGACACTGATAAATGGGCGTACATGATATCAAGATTTTTTCGAAATGTATTTATCTCTAGAGTTATAAAATGTTTTATATCTGACAAAGTAACATCTACGGATACGTTTCATATGACGGCAAATTTTTGGTTAAACGGATGTCATTTAACTTTAAATGAGGTTAGGTAAGCTTTTTGACAGCTGATGGCAATACTGTTGTATTATCTAACATTTTTCATCCTGTGCAAATTGGAATCGAAGCAAAAAACGACTAAAAACTAGTCAATCAGGAAGTCATGTGTACAATCAGACGAGGCGACGAAAATACTAACAAGATTCAATACCGATAACCTTGTGTTCACTTGTATTAATTAGAAGTAAACATTTTGACGATGGTTGTGCCTAACTAGGTGTATTAGCTAGCGAAATATCGAATGGCGAATTGAATTTAAAAAACAAACGAAACGTAGGTTGAAAAAGTTGTGACATAATTTATAATGCGGCAGTTGATATTATATTTTGTATGTATTAAGAACTTGGCGTAACCGATGTAAACAAACATAAAAAAACTAGCTCAAAATGCGATGTGAATAGCAAACACGTCACGCAGGCAATGTTCAAATAAATTCAACGTAGCGTATGAATAATATCGCAAAATACGATAAAAATCATTTCTAGTTTTTCTAGTTGATTGCAATGCGATACGATAAAATAATACATATATTAGGCTGCTAGTATTCCGACAGAAAAGTAATCACACGTAGAAACAGACATATTCAAATAAGTAAACTGTGAAAACGATTAAACAAGTGTTGTGAATACTCTAACATGATAATGAAATTGTGAACAAATAAGTAAAAGTGAACATTGTATAATGTACATCATACCAGTGCCTACATATAGTTTTTTAATTGAACTACACTACTAAATTAATATAAGTAGCACACATGAACACACAGACACATTTATAAAGTCATATAGATCAACTTTTATTTATAAATTAGTGTGGTTCTAATGTGACGTGAAAATAATGCTTGAAAAGTTAATTTATTAATTTAATTACCCAAAAACTAAGATGTTTTTTGAGTAAATCTGTTCTCTATTAAATTCGGTGCCTAATATGCACCAATTTTGTGAATAACAAAATTTGATATAAAGTTACAAAGCAATTTCAATAAAAAAAATTTCAAGTAATTTGGTAAACTTTAACTTAAATTCTTTATAATTTTATTATTAGGCAAATATTTCTTTTTGAATTATTAATAAATTAAAACTAAAAAATGAATATTTTCACATTACATTAGAACGTTTTTTTTAAAATCAGATTAGACTGACAATGCAAAACGCATCATTCAACATTAACACGAATAGCATTTAATTTATTTGCCAGTTACAACCAAACAAAATAAAAACAAAAATCAAATTAACAAATTACACCTAAATTGGCTTTCAACATGCAAGAAAAACATACACACACACAAAGACTGATAAACATGATGGAAAATAATAAAAACTGCATGTGATGTACAAACATCACAACGTATAAATTATATCCAACAAGTGCTTATTAATGTAATAAAGTCAAAACGAACTTGTGGTTGTAAAAAATCATAAACTTATTTGTGAACTATGTATATGCGTTTAATACTCGATTGTACCATTGCAAATGTTGATATGCACTCTGTGTGGTAGAGTGTTATAATTTTGATAATGAAATTTGATAAAATATAAACGACGCTTTGTTTCGAATCAAACAACCAAAACAATTTGCGAACTTTTTCAACTGAACAATTGAATATTTTGTATTTTGTAACGAAAACGTCAATTGCTACTTGCTTTAATTACTCTACACCCTGTCTATTGGTTAAGTCACTATTTAAACACAATAATTCAGTGAAAGAAACCGCTTCCTATTAGTTTTAGTTCAATTTACGATGGGGTGTTGTTGGACTAGAAACAACCCGCACAATACGGAATTATATTAAATATATATATTTATATTGGAATTGCTTATATAAGTATACTTGCGCTTTGCTTGTGAAGCTATTTTCTCGCTTTATATTGCTATATAGTGCTGTATTTGTTAATCGATACATTTATATTTGCTAATTTAGTACGTAACATGAAAGACAAATATTAATCAAAAGCTGAATCTAGTCACACTCGCTGAAAGTAATTATTACAAACAACTAAACACACATATATCATATTTTTTCCAATCAGTTTTTGTATTATTTTCGAATTTCGTATCAAAATGTACCTGCTTTACTGAATACACTCGTATCATTCGATCTCATCACAAGTTTCGTACAGATCTCAATGAGAGGAAATGCATATTTACGAAATTATAATATATTTATTGAAATTATACAAAAACGAATTTATTTTCTCGTATTTACTAGATTTAGCTGATATGCTGATGCGAATAATTATACTATGAAAGCAATAATCATAAAATTTACGATTGTATTTTTTTAAATTAACATTTCCGACTGTGAATGTACATATATAATTTATTTGTTGATGTTTTTTATGTTATGATTGTGATTATCCGTGTTCGTAACATATTTGTATTTTGTAATTTTACAACTGAATTGTTGATGGAGTGATATGTTGATGAATTATTTTTAATTTGATGTCATGAAATACATACTTTGGTCATCAATTGATGCTATTTGTGGAATATTATTCAATGTAATATTAATTGCAGAGATCCACATAATTCGTGAGTATAACAATATTATGAATAAATTTTACATTAAATATTCAATATAATCTTATGTATAATGTTTTCCGTTGTTTTCCCAGGTTTTACTACAACATTCACTAATAGTATGCAAAGTGGCCTCATTTTCGTCTTGAATCTCCTCCAACTTTTTGATTTTCTCATCGAGCGCTAGTTTTTCACAATATAGATTATAAACTCCTTTTTTACACTTGAGTAAATCGGCTTTCTTGCAGTTTGATTCTTTCAATGCCAAATCTAGATCCTTGATGTTTGAATTATCATTCATATGATCTTCTTTTCTGGCATGCACTTCATCAATTTGTTTCAGTAAATTTGTAATCTTTTTCTGTATTTCAAAACAAGCCCCACTCAATTCATCATTCTCAGCAAAAGCATCCAAAGTGTGTGTAATGTTTTCGGAAAGTTTCTGTAGAGTTGTTATAATCTGAGTATCCAACCCTACAGGAAATGGAGCTGTGTTTGATACACTTTCTAATTTCTTAATCTCTTCATTCAATGCTTCCACTTGCCATGCTTTGCTTTCATATGATGAAATTACCTTGTGTTGCTGGGTTTCTTTTTCATAAAATTTCTCAAATGTGTCAAGTTCAGCCTTAACTCCTTGAATTTGAACCTCTAACAAACTATTCTTGTCCTGCTTGTATTTCAGTGTTGTTAACTTGTTTTCAAGTTTCTCTTGTTCTGTTTCCAGATTTCTTTTATCCTGCAGTATTAGTGCATCTTCTTCTAGAGCTAAATGTTTCAATGTGTGGATATCATCATTTGCTGAAAGCTCTTCTTTAAGCTGCCGCAACTCTTCTTCAGATTCTTTAAGCAGATTAATTTTCTCTTGAACCCTATCAATCTTTGATAGAAAATTGGGATGTACTCCAGTGAGTAGAAAATTCTGCTTGCTAACATGCATACTCAATATGGAAACTGCCATAACTGTTGCCTGAGTGGGCTCTAGCAATTCCGCAAAGCAAACTTTCACCGAACTGTTTAACTTTCCCAATAGGTAGTTTACATCACGATATATCTGTGGTACGGTTCGTGGTGTGTCTGGATCACTTCGTCGTATAATATTTATCAAGTAAGTAAATATCGAAATTGTTTCATGTTCAGTTGGATTCTTACGATATCTTTGAAAGTCGATATTCAAATCCCTTCGAAGCATGCTTATAATATTTTCGTCCATTGTTTATAGAAATTATAGAAACTAATAGACACAAATGAGTAAAGTTTTTGATTCAGTAAATTGTCCAAAAAACTACTCACGCAGGTTAGAAACGCATGCAACAAAATAACGGTTTTCGAGTTTGAATTGAATGCAGTGACGTCGTACTAACTCGTGTCAATCGTGCATCTCCGTACTAAAGTAACCACATCTTCAATAATACTGACAATCTTTTGTTCAATACTTATATGAATTTATTCAAAATGTAAAATATGCGGTTCTGTTGTAAACGTCTCTTGGCAGACCGGACATTTCGCTAGCGAATTATATATTTTAGCTGCGCAAGTACCACAAGTCATATGTCCACAGGAAAACGTATGATTAATCCTATTCTTTATACATATTTTACACTCCAATAACCTTTTAACATGTTTGCAACTACTGCCTATTTCTGTGTCGGGCAAACTTGGTAACCAACTTTGCAATGATGGAACATCCGTGGCTTTAACTGAGTAATCATGGTCTTCTGGTTCATTATTTAATACAGTTTGTTTCGTTTTCGTTATAACTTGTGTAAGTGCATCCGTTTTATAATAAACTAACGGCGGAATATTCGATGTCTGATCGTTAACTTCAATAACATACTTCATGTTATTATCTAAAACTTTCTTCGTACGTTTGTTTTTGATAACGTTCGGTGAAATAAAAGCTCTACGCCATGCCGTCATGCTTGCACGTATTCGTTTAAGTGTTATCCGTGTTGCTGCGTTCGGAAAACTGCGAAAACCAATTTTTAATAAGAAAATAAGATATAAATCAATCAAACTTACTGCTTTGCTGCGCATTTATACAATTGCCCTGTGGTTCCCGGAATGCGTAATGCGATGTATTTAAGAAATTGACGAAATTCCTTATCCTCTTGATATGCGTCTTCTGGGCCGTGATTATGTTCGGGAGTATTAACAATTACTTTGCCGCTTTTTAGGTATACGATGGCGGTGCCGATACAGTGCCATGGTTCACGGTATCGCCGACAACGCAAATATTTGATGCATTTTCCTTCGCGGTTTTTGCGGACACCCGACGCTTGAATATAGACAAAGCCTTTATGTGCGAAACACTATTTCATTGGCATGTTTTTAATAAAGTATTATTTGAATCCTCAGGAATTGAAAAATAAACTATACTTGCCTCAGATGCTGCTTCCTGTTAACATAATGAATAAGAATTAATTAGATTTCGTATTATAAAACCTAATAAAAATCCACAAACCTTCAACGAACGTCGTTCTAGCATAAATTCGTTTTTAAGCTTCTCAATGGCTAAAACCATTTTATTGCTACATTTCTTTACATCTCTAATAGTTTTAATTGACTGATTGTCTTCAGTTGGTTCTACAATTGCAGATGATGTTATTACTTGTTCAGTTTCACTGCAACACATAAATATTAATTTTTTACTCTTATTAAAAATAAATTAAATGTTATTGTACAAAGAAACAGTTGCAACATTGGCAATGTTGTCATCTTCAAGATTTAAAATAATTTCTTGCTCCTTTACTTCCACCTCATCATAAATATATTCTTCTCTAGAAATGAAAATATTAGTAATTTGCAAACTCTTAAACATTAATTTCAGCATTGTCACCGATTTGTTTCAATGGTACTGCAGATAATACTAGGAACAGCATCATGCCTCAGATAGCGTTTTCCTGTTCCCCCAATGTTGTAATCATTGTCCATAAAATGTTGGGAGCAAACGTAAATTCGTGATTTTCGATCAAAATTCAAACCGTCATTTGGAGCGCAACTATCAATAAAATCAATCCATAATTTTCTCATTACTAAATTTCCAACAGGAACACTGCTTGAAAGATTATTGTTTGGTTACAGAAACATAGTTATTAAAAATGAATGCGTCAATACGTACGAGTGAAGAACATTTGTTGTTTTATTGTTACAAACGACGCAAAAACGAGTCTTCATTGTAAAACTATTTTGAACAAACTTAACTTGGGATCACCCAAATCGTGTCTTGTGATACAATGGCAGATTGGGTTTTAGGCAGATTGCTCACTAGTAACCTAAATTCGCAATCTGTGTTATACAATATAACGCGTAATTCGATATTTACTATTTGTAGTAGTACTGATTATGTATTATTAGAAATTACAAATATGGCTGTTAAAATTATCAAGGGGTAAGCATCGGATGACATAAAACGTTCTATTTATCTTCCTCTTTCTAAACTTTCTGGCAAATTAGCTGTTTGTGTTAACAACCTGCGGAGCTGGCGGTGTTTTCATTTGCTTGACCACTTTGCTTGTTCAATCATCCACGCATCCTGCTGAAAACGTTACAAAAGTGCAAGAAACAGAGTTTACTTTATTTTATATTTTCGTAGAATGCAGGAATATGGTAAAAAGTGAATGACAGACATTTTTTTTAGATTTTATGTCATTAGATTCCTAATTCCAACAAATGATCATCCTGATTTGAAACCAAGAAATTGCAGGCATATTTTCAGAATACAATCAATGCCGAAATGAATGCCCAGTGATAATTGGGTTACCACCAAATCAAGCTTCAGATATATGTTATCTATAATCCTGAATCTTATTTAATCAAAAAATGCCTTATTTTATGCTGATCATTTATTTGTGAGATTACATCATAAATGAATAGAATATAGTTGTGAATGTATGTATTATTAATTGATTTAGTCAAATAATAATAATAATAATAATACATGTATTTCAAAATTACCAACAAAAAGCATTTGCAAACGGTACAAAAGGTGATAATATGTAAAATTAATAAAGATAAATATGGAAATAATCATATCAATCGTAACAACGAAAAACAAAATGGTTTATAATATCAGGAGGGAATGTTTCATTTTCATAACTTTTCATACGTTACGTAGAAATATTTGTTAGCAGCTGCATAATAACGAAAAATAATAAATACGAACTTCTACTTAAACCTAAAGTTTTTATAACGTCATAAACATATTATATATATTAGGAGCAATAACAAGTATATAATTCGTAGTTTACCAAAAACTAGCTTTGGTTGCGTGTATCCTGAATCAGAATCTCCATAAGATATATCAATATTCTCTTGATAACAAAATAGCAAAAGATAGTTTCCGTAATAATGTCCAAGGCACATGACTATAGGATTCCTGTCTACATTTTTTTCCAGACGGATTTAAATTAGCTGATAGGAATAATTGATAACAACAATGTTGTCACATATCACAAGGTGATAATCAAAGCGAGAATAAATAAGATAGCATGTTCCTTGATTAAAAATTACTTCCGTTAACTTGCCAAAAACCTACCACTCTAACATTAAATGCAATATCACTATCGTGATGGTGGCATAGCCAAATGTATAATAAATACTATATGTAAAAAAGAATGTTCGAGACAATACTGCAATCAAGCCAAAAGAACTCCTAGGAAAACGGATTACTCATTCGTTTCAAGCTGCCAAACTTTTTCTCGGTGTCCTCGGGCGTCCGTATTACTTCAAAAGGTGCCACGATGTTTTGCGGACGCACTTCATTATCATCGGAGGGAAAATCTTCAAAACTCATGTTGCTAAAGCCACCGTGAACAGTATCACATTTCTTAGGCGTTTTCCTAAAAGGCCGCTTCTTTTTCTCATCACTGTTGTTCTCCGTCTTGGAATCCATCAGGACGTATTTAGTTTTCTTTTCTTTTTTATCCTTCTTGGGGACATTGTTGGTGGCTTCCATTTCGAAACTATGAAATACCTCGGACGGCATTACTTTCCTATCCAACGAATGAGTCTGTGAAATCTGAATAGGAATCTTTGGGAATTTTATTTCATTTGTAGTGGGCGGCGGATGATTCGTCAAGTCCAACGACATGGTGACTTTTGATTGGCTGTGGTTACTTGGGAAATTATCCAAGTCAGTAAAGAATTTGTTATAATTGACTGCAGCGGACGGGCGAGGTAATGCAGCAGGCAGCGAAGTAACCGCCCCAGGTATTTCAACACCGTTTGGTGGCACTTCGTTATTAAATTTGTCTTCTAGGAAAGGATTAAGTCTGCTTGATTTTGATGCCAAGTCATCCAACTGGAGCGGCGTGCTTGACTTCACTGGACTGGGTGCGCGCGGTTTCGAAATCATTTTCAACGGTGGTGGCTCTCTTCGCTTGTTTGGTATTTTATTAAATGGCGCTAGGGCAAACACGTCGGACTCCTCAAAGCTGCTGGACGGTTCAATCCACATGCATTTTGTATTCATTTTGCTCGTGGACCACTTGTGATCTTCATACTTAACTTCACAATCAGAATCGAGCTCATCATCCAGTAACAAAGGTTTCTCCCCGTATTGATGGCCCACAAACAGCATATCTTCCTCTTCTACATACTTCTCCTCAGGGATAACAGTCTTACTTATTCGAGGCGCGCCGTCATCATCGTGCATTGTTAAACTTTCGCACTCGGCGTGATAAGCTGATGAACCACATGTCTGTACATCACTGATAGTTTCATTATCGACACGTAATTCGGCACTGTCGTCCATTTCTTCAGCATCCCTCAAATCACTCGCTGAACCAATGGAGTCATCAGTTTCTATAGATTCGCAATGTTCTAAGACTTTTTTCTCCCTGTTGAAATTCTTCATTAAGGTAATCTCCCCCAGTTTGGTAGGCAATGCTTTGTTTCGACGCTTTTTCTTAATTTGTTCTCTTGCGACACCATCATCGTTGGTGTCCGATGACGAATTGTCCGAACTAACGTAGTCATAAAATGAGTTCTGCGTTAGTTTCTCATATTTCGAACGATCTTCAATGGGAGCCTTCGTGAACAGAGGCGACGCAACCACAACTGCTTCAGCTTCTTCTCCATTCGAATAGTTCTCGATGCTATTCGGTTTTAAAGTCTTATAATTCGCAGCGTCGCTATTATTATTTCCCGGTGCGGAAGCAGCCGCCTTTGCTGGATTTGAAACAAACATAAATGACAACAAATCTTGAACACAAAATCAACATAAAAACCAAAAACGAACGCAACACAAATCTCTAAAAAGGCTGTGTGTATCGACACCAACAACTAATTGATGATTTACATCGTAACGGTCACTAAACGAACGATAACATTTACAGCTGCAAGAAAGCATGAATGATATGATGTGTGGCAAATCGTCGCGCTTTAAACCCACCACCAAGTAGTTCGGAACAGCCATTTTTAGATTCGGAAAGTAAACTTACAACGAAAATTATTAAAAAATAAAATTAGAAGTAAAGTATAGGAACAGTTTAATACATACATAACAATTATTGTAACATGAAGCAACTTTATTGCTCACAATTTACAATCACAAGTATTTATATATTCATAATACAAATTAAAACTCTTTGGGTACTGATTTGCTTTCGGTTGCACAATATAGATTTTGCGTATCAGTGTCGGCCTGCTATACATCTGACAATAGATTTGTTAAATGTTTAACTTGCTCTACGAAATAGCTGAAACATAATTAGTGTCTGCACCTAATCGTTAATCGTAGTGCAAAATCACACTAGACTTAAATTTACAGTTACGGAAGAATAGTAAGTTTATCGATAGAGTAGTAATTATAAAGTGCCATGCAATCATCATCATTGTCAATAGAGTAGTGTGAATTAATAAAATCAAAATAAATCACCGGGTGAGTGGCGGAAGGAACTTTCAGTTACGATTTCAAAATATCATCTTGTTATTATTCATGCACTAGAATTATCAATCTAAAAATGCTGTTCCTCTTTATATTAGTAGTACAAACAGTTTGTAGCATTTTGTTAATAATTCCGTATCAGTAGAAATATCGATTGTTATTGGACTGAAAAGTGTATTGCAAGCTAAAGAAAACAAGCAAATTAAATCAGCTAGAGTTAGTACAAGCATAATTACAATATAATTACAACTAAACAAGAAGTAATACTCTGGTTGGTTATTTTATATGTCCAACACAACCAGAATACCAATTTGCTGAACATGTATCATGCGCGCGCAACACAATCGCAACGTATTCGCAGTTACCTCCATCGCTTTTTACACTTTTTACTACACATCATATCACAAGCATTTGTTGCTGTTTATTGTAATTTACATAATACATCACTTTCGTTATTATTGGTCTTAGTTCCGCTAGTTATTCACCGTTGAAATTCTCAATTAGGTATTATGCAATGTCGACAACAGCTACATTCATAAATTTGTGCAATTTCAATATGGTAATCAAGAATATATCAAGTATCGTACAGTCTGTCAGCGCCCCGTCTAAAAATGAGTATGCGCAACTTTAGACCGAACGCTCTCCTATCATACCTATATCATCACGCCATTCATGTTTATGTACATATTGTACATGTAATATATATAGTTAAATTTATTGTAAACTTTATGTATAATATATATATCTCGTTTCTTTTGTTTCTTCATTCGTATTTGAAAGTATGTGGAACCGTCAATTTTCAAACGTTCAACTTGTTCAACTGCTACGTGAACTATAACAAACTTGTCTATTTTTCTTACGGATGTAAATACATTGTTAATTTTGACTAGGTATTTGAAAATAATATTTATATAGTTTTATATATATATTTGTATATGATTTTAGCTAAGCTAGCACGCTAGAGTATATATAGAATTTCGCTATCTGGTAAAAGTTGGAATGATGTTTGTAATATATTGATGCACCCATGTTATTGCATTAACAGTTCAAATTGAATTTGCTATCACAATAATGAATTGTCAAGAAACCGTGTATTAACATAAATAATGTGCAGGCTGGTGCAGTTGGTGCTTAGGCAATTTCTTCACTTAGATGCTATCTATAGTAGAGAAATCAATAAAAATAGTTTCACTTGCTTTGTTCGCGAGAGCTACAACTTGTTACAAAGTAGTGCATTGAAAGAATACCTTTTAAACGCGAATCCATGCATCAAGTACAAATTTTGGGTTTGTAAGAAAATCATAGTTTAAATAAAAATCTTTAAACATCAATATTTTGTCACAAAGCCAATTATTATATTTCGTGCGCGTTCCAAAAATGATACTTTCAATGCCGTATTCTGTACCACTATACACATAAGATTAAATTGTTCGTGCGGTTGAAGTATAAACACATGCTATAAAAAATGAAGTGATAAGCTGTAAGCAAAGTAAACTCAAACTGCTAATGCAACACATCCACTGAAATCATCAACAAGTAATAAGTACCATCAACTTGCAAGCTTTAGTAACTCTTTAAAATTGCATCACAACTTGTCTTTGTAGGTAGTAGCAAATTAATGAATAGGCGCTCAATTCGAACTGTCTTAGATGCGACTCTGTCCACTCCCTAGCATAATATAAGTAATAAAAATACAATTTTGTCAAATAAATCATTCGCCTCGATTCCTATCTACAGAATAAAAATATCGCAATCAAAAAATAAGCGGCTGAGTTGTTCGGTAAATATTGTCATGCGTTCATCTTTGTTAATCTTGCTGACTGTTTTGGTTGCGCTAGGTATGTTTATGTTTAGCAATGTGGGGTTTGTGTAGTTTGTAGTATCGTGAAATAGTTAAGACTCGTTACCTGTGCTTTGGAATCCGCTCTTATTTTTATTTTTTACTGGAAGACTGAACGGTGCGCTTCCGAAGGGGTCTTCCGACAAGGACATGACGAGGCTCTCACGTGACTTCACACCCTGAATGCCTAATAATAAAATAGAAGTGAATTTAGTTATAATCTTTTTTGTAGAAGTGAGGAACTTACTACTTTGACTTCCACGACGTATCTTATCAAACTCTGCACCGAAAATGTGGTCCTCCGTGATTTGACTGAAGGGCGGCTCGCCAAAAGGATTCCAATCGGCGACATCGGCCGATAGTGAGCGATTATCAGGCTCAATAGGACGCGATACGTCTGTGGTAGAGGCAGATATACCTGCTTGCGCTTTAGGTGCGCTGGATACCTCCTCGACCGGAGAGTCTTCAGCAGCGGGACCCGCGCGCTGCTTCATTGACGACTCAAACGGTGCTAAAAACTGTGATGTCTCAGTCGCATACACTCTGTAAATGCAAATTACAAATAAATATTTAGCATAATTTAAAATCTAGCATAAAATACTTGTTGAATGCAGTTGTATCGCTCATATTTCGGCGGTGACCTCTCGGCGCAGAGAGTACAGGGGATGCCGGCGGCGTGTTGGAACTGACGATGCATTGACTAGAAGACTCCGCTGGTCCCTTCAACCCGCCGACGACCGATTTGTTGCCGTTGCCGCTAAATTCAGGACTAATCGGTGATGATTTCTCCTCACCGCCATCTTTAAATGGATCGGGATACGCGGACGACGCGAACAAATTATCAAAGTCCTTCTCAGGCCCCTCTTGACTAGGAAAGAAGTTTTGGTTATTTTGGAATGCTGGTGAGAAGCTTTGGTTACTTTGGGGGAATGCTGGAGCGGCGGTGTTAGCGTTTGCCGTCGAAGAGGAGGGCGTGGTGGTAGTTGGCGGAATCGGTTTGGGTGCCGGTTCGGGAATAGCCACTGGACTCTGGGATTTTTTAATCGTTGTAGGACTCGGGCTGAGCGTAAGCGGAATGGACGCGATGCTCAATGGTTGAGTTGTGTTTCCTTTCGGTCGTTGACGAGGCATCACGCTGGTGCCGCCTTCGGCTACTGACGACACTTGCGGTTTTGCCGTTACTTTGATTTGGGTTTTCTTTGCTTCTGCCTCAAACTGCGGCACTGGTAATTCATCAATGTTCGGAGTCGGCGTTTTCTAAACCAAAGAAACAAATATTGATTAATATTAACTGTTTAACAATTAAAAGTAGAAAAATAGAAAAGTTACCATTAAATTTGTGACTGGATTGTCTTTCCCAAGTAAATGGAATGCTACACTAGAAACTTGATAAATATCTGGACGTTTAACAGGGTCTACTTCTAGCATGTATCCTAAAATAAACAATTGCACATAATAATCAATATTGTGTAAGGTATGATGTTTAACTTACGAATTAATTGATGCATTCCTTTAGAATATTTCGAACTGTCTGGGATAGAAAAGTTACCACTTTGAATAGCCAGCGTGCTTTCTCCGAAAGGCAAAGTAAAAAAGCACAGCTTATATAGTAGACAACCCAAGGCCTGTAAACAATAACGATGATTGTTATAATTGTCATATTTTGATGGATCTATTCAATAGTCGCCACCGTGTCGAGACGCGACAAGTGCGATATATCTATTCATATAATTATTATTTACTCGAACACCAATTGATTGATATTAATGATTTCTTCAGAAATCAATAAATCGAAAAATTATAACCAACCATTTTAGCATCTATTGCTGTACGTTGAATACTTCTATGTCAATAGGTTTCGAGTAATTAATTAGTAACAATGACTAACAAATTGTGCATATTAAATACATACCCAGATGTCAGCTTTCGTGGTAATAGGCTTGCCACAATACATATCGACCATTTCGGGCGAGCGGTAACTCAGTGTGGTGTAACGCTTTATTTCCTCTTCGATCACACTAGCACCCTGAGTTCCTGGATTGAGTACGCGACCCGTTGCCGAGCCGAAGTCGCATAAAACGTAATTGCCATTTTCGCTTACTAAAATATTCTCCACCTAAAAACAAAACCGAATATAATCAACATGACAATAATTTATAAATAAATTAACGTCAAAATTCACGAGTATATCTAAATTTTTAGTAAATAAGAAGGACTATGAGTAAATTACGCGCAAAAACCAGCGATGTTAACAAGAACGAGTCAAATAAGTCTTTTTCTAACTTAACACGAACAAAACGAGTGATCTGCCATGAAATACCTACGACAAGGAAAAAACGCAAGAGTCGCGTACCTTACACTGAGTTTCGTGTTAACCTAATCAAGAAAAATCGAAATAGAAGCAAACATCATAAGAAAAAGGAGCAGACTAAAAGTAGGACTAAAACTACAGCCAAAAGGCCATCTTCTTTAGGTGTTACAAGATCTAAAGAAAAACAATCCACAGATCTCAATGCTGTGGTGAGCAAGCTCAACGGAATATTGATAAAACTAGAGAACTTGTTAAAAACCGAATACAAAGAGTACAACGCGGCTCATACATTTTTGACAAATACATGCAAAAGTATGAACATATAACATGAAAAAAAAAAACTTGTTATTTTTGTGTTCCATGCAATGTAATGAAATTTAACACAACAATAAACACATTTTGCCATCTGATGAAGTGTAAAAATAAGTGTCTTGCAACTTGTTTATCTATTATTACCTTGAGATCCCTATGTATGATAGGTGTTTGGCAGTGATGCAGCCTAGACACAGCCTCACAAGTGTCACAGAACATTCCCAGGATCTCCTGTTCAGTGAATGTAGCCTTACCCTTTGCTCTCATTAGACTCAGCACACTGTTCTGACAATAAGGCATCAGCAATAGCACCTCGTAAACCCCACCTCCAGTTGCAGTCAGGCTTGAATCAACATATCCAATAATATTTTTATGCCCACTTAAATTACTCTGTAATATACATGAGGAATAAATTAGTATTAAAATCTTGCACATTATTAGTTAAAATAAAACATACAGCTATTTGTATTTCTCTCTTGGCCACATTGAGGTCCTGCTCATTATTCACATACATTCGTTTGAGGGCATACCTGGTGCCATTGTTGCCCTTCACCAGGTAAACAATTGCAAAACCACCTTTGAAACAAAATTAAAATAAATTAATTTATGTGAAATAGAGTGGTGTGCAGGGTGGTTTACCTTCAGCAAGGACTTCTTCCACACTGACTGTGACCCTACCAACTGTGAATGCTTTGCCCACACAGTTGCCAGTCTCTTTCGACGTGCTGTTGTCGATCTTGGAGAATAACTTCTTCATCTTGTTGGCCTTAATTTGGAATGGCTACACTGAGGAGGTTTCACATTGGTGAGGAATACCGTTCCGCACTTGCTGATAGGCCTGCCCGACGTCGCTCTAATCGTGTGATTTGGCGACGAACGATGCAACGATCGCAGCGCACTGTTCTCGGCTCATGATAATCCACGATCGACGATAATCTAGGCTATCAATATTTGTGAAGTGGGTTCTGCTACTGTTGGAGTTTTTAATGACGTTCATTTAACGACATTCGACGACTTTTCCGAGAGACAGCTTACAGCTGACGGAAAACTAGGCCATTTTGTTGGTTTAATTCGGTTTGTTCTTATTTGATGGCGCTCGCATAAGTTATTTGAGTTGCCTATAAACGAACACCACAATTGTTTTATTTATTGGATTTGATATGCAAACTGAATTCAAAAATCATAAAAAAATTGCTAAAAAAAACTTGTTCTAGGCATTCTTTTCTCGTGATTTGTACCTAAAAATAATTGTATCCAGCGACTTTAACATTAAGAACTCACGGATATCGACATTTAATTTACCTCCTGAAACATATGTTATGAGTGTTTAGCTCTGTTTGGCGTGAGTGTGTTTCAATTTTTTCAGAAATGGTGCTAGAATGTAATTTCAACATTGAAATATAATGCCCAGCCAAATATACTTTAACGATTCAAAAAACAATATTATCTTATCTATTTCCCTTACATTAAAATTGTTTTCTTATCCTGAATAGAAACTTGAATTAATGCATGATTATAGATAATGGTATTTTTCTTTGATCAGTTTATATTTTTTACCATTCGGAATTCGAAAAGTCGTTAATCTTTTTCTATTTTTTTAACATACGTTTTACTACAAATATTTTAATGTTTTTAATTTTCTAGTCAAACAAAAGAAAAATAACATCACCAAAATAATTATTTTAATAACACCTAATATTTACTCGACATTAAAAAATATTTCTATAACCGTCCAACTGTCATAATAACCCCGTGAGCGTGGTCTCTTACGATAAATATAATTATTTTAAATATTCCAGCAAACGAATAATATAAATTACCGAAATAATTATTCTAGAAAAAGATTAGAAGTGGTATAAAAAGAGCGGCTGTTTTCTTTCACAATATATTCGACTACATCAAGTCAACTAAACAACAAGTCAACAATGAACTTCTCCAAGATTTTCGTCTTTGCCGTTAGCGCAATGTGTCTCATCTTTGGGGCCCAGCAAGTTCAAGCTCAGGAAGGCGCCACTCGTACATCTCGCCAGCCAGGACAAAATTAGCAAACAAGTTAGTTTAATTTATTTTAGTATATGTGTGATCCAAATCATTTAAACTGTTGTTTAATTTGCAGAAATTCAAAGGTTTGCCACTATTTATGTAAACCACATGCATAAATAAATCTAAATGACACAATAATAAGACAATTAATATTTTCTTTTGCCTATATGTATAGGTTATACCAATTCCTTTAATTCCTTTATTTTTACTCAAAAATAATCCAAGAGTCGAAACCATGTACTCTAATATACAAAAATTAAGGTATTACCGACAGTGTGTTGCCTTTAAATGTTCTACATTAATAGTCACATATATTTGTGCATAATTAAATAACGACGTAATTCTAATTTTAATTCTAATTAAAATATATTTTGAAGCATTTTGAGACGCATATAATTTCTTTTGTTCACTAATTATATTCAAAATATTTTTGAACAACAATTTGAAGTTATCTTATATTTGCTTGTTTGTTAATTAATTGTTAAACATTTATATTGTAATTATTAAATAATGTAGTTGAATATAATATAGCATAAGTCTACCCACCTCTATAATGACTGAACTTGGCTAGAACTGAACAATCAGCTAGTGGCCCAAAAATTGTCAAAAATACAGTTGCTCGTTGTAAATTTATAACTATCATTATCAATTGTTATGAGTTATTCACGTGCAAATTTTCTCCCCTATCGCTTAGTGTACAATTATTTTTTGTACAGCAAAAATGTATTACTACCCAATTTTCTCTATCGAACATATATCTGTGCAGTGCTTGTTAGTATATTCGGAAATTTAAACTATTTGCGTTTCGCATTTCGTAAGCACCCACTAATATAACATTAACAAAAAATAGTGGTTATTGTTTAAGGTTCAGGGGTGCGGTTTGAAGACATCAGTTTCAATATATCATGTATTATAACAGCAACGTTGGGTCACATGATAGTATATAAGCTGAGAAAGACAGAAATACTGGGAAATATCATTTGGGGCATGATCGAAGAAGTACTGTTTCATCATTTATCACATAAATTGCAAAACATAATAAACGTTACTGATTTGGTTGTAAAGTGTTCTATTGGTGTTGGTTGGGTTTTGTTAGGTATTGGATTGGTTCTTAGTGAAATGGAAACTTGTGGTGAAAATTCCATAAATAACGTTTGTGGAGTTTTGTATCCGGGTGTAAGCAAACATAATATTGTCATTAGAGATGTACCGAATAGTCGGCAATAATACCTTTTTAAAAAAGTAATTGGTATAAAAATTTCAGACAGTTGTGTTGACGTGTTGAAAAAAATATTAAAATTCATGAAAATATGAAACTACATTACGTTAATAAATAAACAAAAAAACATAAAAATTAATTTTTAGCAGAATATTTGGGTGGGTAACTAGTCACTTCAAGACCTAACATTCAGGTAATCGGCAAATACGAGTGTTGAGTCGACTAACTCGGCACATCTCTAATAGTCATTCGTTAAAAAAAAATATTAAATATTGTTACATTTTTAGAATTTATTTGTTAATTTGAGTCAACGTCCATATCGCGAATTATTCAATTTCTGTGTTTTCTACTATCAGTGCTATCAGTATATAAGTGTCGTAGCCAGCTGCAGTCAATTATTTGTTCTTATGTTGTTGACTAAAGAGAGCGTGTCTGAAATGAGAGAAATTCTAAATCAATGCCAAAAAACTAGGAATAAATCGATACGATACGATTTGCTGATTCAAGCATACAGATTTCAACTTTGTAAAAGAGAGTAAATTAACATATATTTGCGTTTGGTATCACTTAGCTTACATAAATTTTAGATGTTGGAATGCAGTCAGCCAATTGTTTAAGTGGCCATTATTGTGCCAATATTTTGGAAGCGGTATAAGTATTGCATTGTGTCTTATCTCATATCTAATTGTAAGCAACCAAATTAATGAGGTTTAATTTCATATATTTTAATATATATTTAATTTTTAGAAACCAAATACATTGTTGCTTTTTATTCTTTTGATACACATTTTTGGAACATGCATGTGTGGCTTTTTTTGCGGAAGAAATGGAACGAATTGTATAATACCTACATTATATTACAGTAAAAATAGTATAGCTAATATGAAATTGCTTTTAGAGTGAAGAATTTCGACATGTTATATTTTATGGTGTACCTTGGAATGGGGATGTTGAAAGTGCAAAATTTCTCATGTTAATGAATCTTAACATGCACCAAGTGTTTAAGCTTCCTCTTGGAAACCATGCTGTTTATTCAAATGAACAAGTGCTATTGGTAGATTGATACAAATTGACGATGAAGAGTATCTTCAAGCTTTTCAAAAATGTAAAGATTTGCTAAGTAACGCACCAATACTTACCTATCCAGACTTTAACAAAACTTTTTGTTTAACCACCGACGCCTCAAATACAGCTTTAGGAGGTGTATTATCACAAGATAACAAACCAATTGCTTACTATTCCAGAACATTAAATTCCGCCGAACGAAATTATTCAACTATCGAACGCGAACTATTGGCTATTGTCGTGTGTACAAAACATTTTAGACCTTATATTTTTGGACGACGTTTCGTGATTGAGACAGATCACAAACCTTTAGTATGGCTATTTTCAATCAAAGATCCAAATTCACGTTTGACCAAATGGCGACTTAAATTAGAAGAATTAGATTACGAGGTTAATTACAAAAAGGGAAAAGAAAATTTTGTCGCAGATGCTCTTTCACGTGTCGAAATCAATACAAATGAAATTAAAGCAAATGATTTAGACGATAATGATAATCTATCAATTTTTCCAAATTTTGACGAAACAGAAAACCAGGAGTTAATCGCGGAAGAACTAGATCGAATTCTCGAAATTTCATCGGGTGAAACAGCTCATACCTCAGCCGAACATCCAATTTTCACAATGCCCATCAGTGAAAAATCTGTAAATTGTTTCATGAATCGTATTATTATCGATAGAGCTGACGAATTCAGGGTAAAAATATCAAAAACATTTGACAAACAAAAGGTTTTGAAAGATTTATACAGCAATACTTAATTCCAAATACACTTTACGGAATTTATTTTAAAGATAAAAATCTAGAAATTCCATTTATACAAGCATGCCAAGAAATTTATAACGACGAACTCAAAATTGCTAAATCTAACACGATTTGTCAAGACATTACAAACACTAGTGATCAACACAAAATCGTTGAGGAATACCACACGCAAAATCATAATGGTACGACCGAAACCGTAAACCACCTGAAGAAGGAAGTTTACTGGCCAAAAATGCACGAAACAATAAATAAGATAATCAATACATGTGAGTTATGCCTTCAAGCTAAAAACGAAAGAAAACCTTACAAAATTCCAATGTTAGGTCCGATGCTTGCTAAAAAACCATTCGAAGTCATTCACATTGACACATTCTCATTTGATAAAAGCAAATTTCTTACCATAATAGACCTTTTCTCAAAATACGCACAAGCTTACTATGTTTCTGATTTAACAGCAATAACCATACTCAACAAATTAAGACATTTCTTTTCGCATCACAACTACCCTAACAGAATTGTTTGCGACGAAGGAAAAGAATTTAAAAATAGTGTGTTTCAGGAATATTGCAAGCTTTTCAAAATTGATTTACATTTTACTACAAATTACAATCCCAGCTCAAATTCACCGATAGAGCGTTTTCATTCCACCATTCTTGAAAAAAATCAGGATTGCAAAGCTCAAAAATAAAAATGACACCTCTCAAAATTTAATGATTTCTACAATAACAATGTACAATCAAACAATTCACTCATCTACAGGATTCACACCATTTTCACTTTTATATGGTCCTTATGACAATCTTAACGCTCACCAACTCGATTTAGACAAAACTTTATATCAAGATTATAATAACAGGAGAAAGGATGAAATATTACCTTTCTACGAATTGTTATATCACCAACAGTTAGAAAAGAAAACAAAAACCAAAAATGAACAAAATGAACGAAATAAAAACGATATACCAACAATTGAACCAGAAGAGTATATCAGACGACAAAAAATAAGAAAAGCTGATCCTGTTTTTGACAAATTGAACGTTACGCGAATCAGTAATTATAATAAAGTCGAAGGGATTCGTGAGAATTCTAATAAACCAACAAACATAAACCAAAAGAAAATTAAACGGCAGTCCGCAACCAGGCCCTTCAAGTAGAACCGATTAACACGAACGGTTGGCTATTAGAAGACCTAGGAAAAGCCAAAATTTTAGATAGATATCATAAGTTTTATTTTTATCTTAATATTAGTGAAATAGAATCTAAGTATCATAAGTTGTTAAGTCATGTTTACATAACCGAGCTAAAATCAGCTAATTTCAGTAATGCGTTGCGAATTATGACCATCTTGAAATCAAACTGCGAACAGATTGAGGATACTTTAACAAAATTCAATTTACACCAAAGAAATAAAAGAGGACTTGCAAACATAGTAGGAACGGGAATTAAGTTCATTACAGGAAATTTAGATGATGAAGATTTACAAGAAATTAACAAAAATATTGACGCACTTTTCAAAAATCAAAATGCGATAATAAAACGTATTGATAAATTTACATCTTTCGCCAACCATTTGACTGACAAATACGCTAAAAATTTGGACATTATCGAAAGCAACATTAATAACTCTTTCGCAGCACTTCAAAACCTTCATGCCGAGTATGAATTGCACTCTATTTTACAATATGAAATTTACCTAAGCCTACAAATTCTGGAAACCCTAAAGTCAATCGAACGAACAATAAGCCTCGCTTTTAACGATATTTTCAATTTAGAATTAATCTCAACATCTGATTTATTAAATATTACAAATCATCTAGCATTAACACACAAGCCAAATGAATTATTAAAGTTGGATCGGACTCACCCTTTCAAACTGCTCGAATTTTCCAAATTCAAAATAATTTCAATTAAGGAAACAATTGTATGCATTTTGTGTATCCCCATTGTCAAAGAAAATACTTACCTATACCAACAAATTTATCCGATCCCTAATGATGACATGCAAGTACTTGTGCCACCATCGCAGTACCACCTCATTGGAGCATCAGAAGAAATGTGGACGGACGAATCGTGCAACGAAATCGAGACTGAAGTGTTGTGTG